TAGAGCACACTCATAGAATAAATATTAGAATTTGTATGGTTTTGAGGAAAATCAAATATCGAATATTTGAAATTTCATGCAAATCGGGAAAATCAAATATATGAATTTTTGATTTTCCTCAAAACCATACAATTATTTCTATGAGTGCAGTGTTTTAAGCAGTTAAGTGCCTTGCTGGTCGAATAGGAAGTATAGTTCTTTTTCGGAAGTTTAGATACTTCGACTGCTTAATGTACGTCTACTTAATGTTAAGGAACGGGTCAGGAACTTGAAGTGTAGCGGGAGAAATAGGAACGAGAGCTACAAGATTACTCACGAATGGAATATTGTTAAACGGACCTGAAAAGTATCACGTCACGCATACAGAAGATCGAAACGAGAGCCTTAGTTTATTTGAAACCTAGATATGAAGATTAGAAGATTGATCCTACATAATATTAATTCATATGTATACAAATACAAAAGTCTAAAATGTAAATTATTACCGGACAGTATGTCGTCAAAAAATGCAATAAAGTGCAATTTAAATGAAAAAAAGTGTTGTCCAAACTATGTGCCACGGCACACTTTTTTTGAAAATACCATGAACCGCTCGCAGTTTTGTTCATAGTTTGCCAAAGGTGTGCCGTGGGTCAAAAACTTTGGACAACACTGCTTTAGAGGATCGTTAATTTTGAATAGTAAATTTAATTCCATTAGAAAATCGGATACAAAAGACTTTTTACCCTAATTATTACCATGAAAATTTTGTAACAAGGTACAGAAGGGGGTCCAAAACCTCAAATTTTCGTCAGATATCATTTTTGAATATTCCCAAAAGATCAATATTTGTTGACTTGGAATTTATAAATGTTTCGAGTTTAAAGGAATTAAAAATGACTACTATAGTAGGAACCTAGCCTGTCAAAAAAACATCCAAAAAATAAATTCAATTTTACACTTTTAATCTCTGTTCACAGCTTCTCAACTACTTCAATTTTTAAACACCATAAATTTTTAATACCTAGATGCAATCACACCCAACAGCATATGCATCAATGTTACCGTACAGCAATTTAGATAAAGATATTGACACATTAAATCGTGTGAGATTTTTAAAACTATTAAAAAAATTTTAATGTGTATTAAGTTTAACTTAATGACCACAGTGACTGATTATTGACTCGTAATCTTAAATGAGAATCTCATTTTCTGCCTAAAAAATTCCACAGAGGTCAACAATATTAAGCAATTGTATTTTACACATTAATCTAAAAGACTAAGCATGAGTATGAGTTTACAAGTCCATTTGCATGACTTTAACAATTTTTTAGGAAATTGTATTGTTGTTTTTGGTCCGAATTATTTTTTTAAAATGTTAAAAAAATTAACAACCCAATTACTAGAAAGTTTTGCAACCACTCCTATAAGTGAAGCTAATTAAAATAATTTTCAATTCAGTGCTGCTTTAGAATGCTCAAAATGTTCGATAGGTGCTGAAGTTTTTCCGTCATTTATTCAACGCTAATCCAAATATGAATAGAAATAAATTTTTAACATTTTGTGTGAGAGTTGAGCATTGAAGTAAAATGAGCCATAATAGTGGAGAAGCATATTGAGCTTCAATTAAATAAATGACGAGACAATATTCGATATTGACAATATTTGACTCAAATAGGCATAAAGTCGTGAATAAAAGAAACATTAATGAATAACTTTGAGCTTTTTTTCTGTCTAACTTACAAAATATTTATTTTAGGAGAGAAGTGTTTGTGAATGATGTGCTGGATGGTAATGGTTTGTCTAAGTGTCGATTGTGGGATAAGTTTGAGAATTAAAATTGGAAACCTAATGAGTTTATGATAATTTAGTCTTTAAAGCAAATTGTTGTGAATTCTTAAGGGTTTGTAACTCATTTATGATGTCCAACATGTGGAGGAGGTGGGATCTTGAGCTTAAATTCATTTTAAGGCATTATGCCAAAATCTTTCCCAATATCGGGTCACCTATATCAGTTTAAGATCACTTTGTAGAGTCTGAGATATTAAGGGTCGTTTATTAATGCCAATATTCAGCTTTATAGGATGAATGTGCTTGTCGATGCGTAATTCTTCTTTAGAAAATTCGTTTGCTCTTCAAATTCGAAGTGCTCTTAAAATCTAACTTAATGATTGATCTATCCGAAAGCTAATAATATTCTAGGATTCTTGGTGCTCGATACTCAATAATATCCCTGTTAAATTGAATGTTGTATTAAAAAAGTTGTTAGCCTATAACATATTTTAGGATGTAGTCCTGGTCCCTATTCTCTAGTTGCTTCACTTGACCCTTGCATACCGCATCACACAATGAGAATAAATTCTTTTAAAAAATCAATTTTAAGTGTTGTTCCAAATTTCTCTCTTTAACCTGAATTCTTTTGTTAAATTCACAAGAACACATGTCTTACAGTTCGCGATTCCTTTGTAGATTTCCAAGAAAAATGCGCCCTAATCACTTCATCAAATCAAAATATTTCTCATTGTGTTCCTGTACTGCATATAATTTTTTTCCACCCTATTTCAAGAAGTTACCGCGTTAAACAAATGAAAAATATATTTTTTTCAGTGCTTTTATCATCATCATTGCATTATTATTGTACTATTGTTGTGGATTATATTGTGTATGGAATGGTAAAGATGATGATCATGAACGAAAATAACATCAGTAAGGTTCGCAAAAAGGGCAGTTTTGTATGAAATAAAAGGAAGAATGAGAAGTAAAATGTATGGAATAAATTATCGACTCAATTACTACCAACGGTGATGACAATAATCATCAATGTGTGCGTGCTTTTCCGTACTTTAGTATTTAATGTGTTTACAACGTTAACATAACATTTGCGAACTCGTTATGTACTTCATTTATATTGAAAGCGTTGCAGTACATCGAGCATGATTCATTTCATTTCTTATAAGCTCCGAAAGAATGTTTCGCGAAACGAGAGAGTGAGAGAGAAATAAAATATAAACTTCAAATAAATATCTCAAGACGATTAAGTACATAATTAAATAATTAAAAAACATAAAAGAATTGTACACACTCTTAAGCTTTTCCTCGCTACACAGATTTTTATCTCGTGTAAAATGTTTTAAATTAATCTAATTAAAAAGAAATAAATCTAGTTAATTTATATTTTGTGTACGCTTCTTTTACTGTTGAATTAATGAAAGACATAAATATTCAGATTTAAAGCATCATGTGTCATTCTCAAATTAAAAATTAATTGGACGAAAAGATGAATCAGATCAGATGTAGTGTTAAATATGTGAAGTAACTCCTTTTTCTTGCCTCAACATATCAACCGCAGCAAGTATATTTATTTTCAATTTATGAAAATTTAATTAAATAAAAATAATATGAAACTCATGCATTACAAACAACACTCACTCGTGTTAGCTCTTGATGCGGGCTATTTCAAATTTTGGCATCATAAATTTATTTTGGTGCTTTAATTTAAATCGATTCCAATTTTTAAATGTTGACTTTTGATAATTTGGTTTACAATCTTTTGTCAATTGATTAAGCAGATAATGCTGGATTATATGAAAAGATCGTGTGATTGATTTGAGTCGACCAAACTTTCATTAATATAATAATTTGAAATATTTAACTTTTAAAATATAATTGACTTATCATTGGCTTGTTAAATTTAATTTTTCGTTTGTTTACGAACAGATAGAAACAGCTGTATTGTTGAATTTTATAAAACCAATTATTTCTTAATTATCTTGTAATTGTTGAGTTTCACTTTAAGTTCAGGTGAAGTTTTTTTAAAACGAAGCTTCCATTTTTTTAAATTATCAATTTTAAATCGAATTAAGTTTATCAAGTAAATTCTGATTTTCTTGTCTTTAATCTGATTAAGATAGAATTCGATTCGAGTCGACTTGAATTAAAATCAAGTTTAAACAATAATTTGATTCAAAATTTTAGGTTTATAGTTTTTTCTTATTATGAATTTTGAATTTCATTTCTCTACTTTGTCAAAAAATCTTCATAATTTTAGGAATTCATAAAAGAAATGTAGGAATTCTTCGGAATCGTTCTCAAAAAAGCAAGGTTTTTTCGAATCACTGCTACAAACTTTTCAACAAACAGAACTAGAAGAATAGGAAATATTATTGTATTTAAAAGGGAACCTTTAAACTAAAATATTAGTTTCGCTACAAACTTAGCTCCAAAACCAACAATGAGTCAGATAAAAAAATCATTTTTGTTATAATTTGATCTCCAGATAGAGATTTAGTTGTAGCAGCTTGAAGCCAATAATTTAGATTTAGTGGTTATAACCTCTCATTAATTACAGTTTTTAAATGATATTCGTATTAAATTGAAATTGTAGATTTTTAATTTGTAGCTGGAAATATCCTAGAAGCTAGTTAACATAAAAATATTCATTCTTACTTAAAAGAAAGAAAATAACAAAAAATAAAATTTATCAGAGTTAATAATCAACTCAGATTCGTTTTTTGTAGGGTTCATCTTCAAAATGTCCTTATTCTACAAAAAAAAAATTGTTTCTAGTTTTTTCCAGTAGCCATTAAGTTATTTAAAATGTCAAATTCATAATCCCATAACATTACAAATGAATATATTCATTACCGTACCCTAAATTATGTTTGTTGCCATCCAAATGACAAATAAATTCAAGAAATTTTTGCACCCCTCTCCCTTATTTTTGCAAAACCTTAAGATAACTTTTAGCAAAACTAGCTTTTTCTATATCACGCCAATTATCACAATTGACGCAAACAAAACATAATCATTTGCTAATGAATAGTAAGTCTCTATATATGTATGTCGTGTACATATTGCAGCTACTTCATATATGGGAATTTTTTTTCCGTACATTTCTCGTATTGGCATTATAGCATAGTGTGAATTAGATAGTTTATTGCAATTGAATAAATAATGATATTTAGGCATTATTGTCAAGTTGTAATTTAAATACGTGTAATAGAAAATAGACGTTGACTTACCTGAACTAGGTCTATCAGAATATCGTGTGCAAAATACCTAAACAAATATAAAAAATGGGAGAGAGAGATACATTGTGTTAATTATCGTATGCATATATATGAGTCTATTTACAAATATTATTTGACTTTAAAGGCATTAAAGTATAGAGGAAAGAGGATAAAAAAAAGAAATAATGCTGTTCCATTTCTCTCGCATCGTCTTTCAATCCCTTAATGGAAAATAATAATTTTTTTTATAGCTTCGATCGTGGAGAGGAGCAGAAAATACATATTTGTTGAAAGAAGCCTCTATTTATATTGTGTATTAATAATAAAAGATATGATACTTTACCCAAGCTGGCCAAACAGTTCCACCCGGAGAGGTACTCGTTCCAGCATCACTTTTCGATGATGTTTCGGTAGATGATGAAAACGATTGATCTAAAGATTTGTCTTTTGTCACCGAGCTATTATGAGGTTCTTTTTGTAATGTATCTACGGTAGTAAAACTATTATTGATCTTTTCCTTTTCATGTTGTTGATGTTGTTGTTGTTGGTGGTGGTGGTGGTGCTTTGACGATCTTTTTAATCTCGATGTTTTCAATAATAATGGTTCTGTGATTCGTCTACCAAAATCAGCCTTTAAAATATTATCAATACTAAATTTAAGATTATGTTCATGTAATTGATTCTGATGGGTCGCATGGTGATGATTATGATGATGGTGTAGATTATTATGATGATGTTGTTGTTTATTAAACTGTTGAAAACCCGATGGCGATTGTGAGCTTTCTCTCGATAAACTGCTCAAACTTGTCGTATCATCTTTTTTCATATTGCTGCCCAAACTATGTGTAATTTGAGATATTGCACTCAGATGTGAATGTATATTTTGAAAATTTATGGCACTTTTGGCACTAAATATATTATTTCCATTTTCATTGCTACCATTATCAGCGGTCGTCAATTTTGTTGACGCAAATAAGCCAGTTTGGAAACTTAATTTAGATATTATCGACGGCTCAGGTTCATCTAAGCTATTATTATTGTGACTTTTTGTATCGGTCGCACTTTGTAGGCGTGCGGCGGCAGCAATTCGTTGACGAAGAATTTCTTCAGCGTAAAGCTGTGAACTTCTCAGAATCTCTTCATGAAATTGGATCGGTCTCATCATATCGCCTATCTCTCGAGTACTTTGTTGCGGACTACATAGTCGTGTGGAGCTGGTTGTGTATTGTGATGATGACGCATTGCTCATTTCTTCATCATCATCATCCGAATCAATTGATTCTTTTGAATTATTATTATTATTGCTATTATTTTTTATATTAGTATTATTATTTTTTGATTCCGACTGTTCATTATGCACAATTTTTTCTTGACCAACGGATAATTCACTATCGTTACTATTACTATCGTCTTCGGAACATAATCGTGTTTTTAAATTATTTTGATCACTTAGTTCGCTCATTATAGGTAAGTTATTACTCCTTACAACATTTGACATGCAAGAACTTGAGGATTCTCCAACGCCAATGTTAAAATATGGTTTTAATAAACTCTCATTAGTCAGGATATGCGATGGATATTGTAATTTAATTAAATTGTTTATGCTCAAATTTTTAAAGTCCGTTGGCATAAATATGGCCATCATTTTAGATAAAATATTAACATTATTCCATGTAAATTAATTAATTCTTAATTGTCACAAGAATGTAGAACTTCCTTTTTTTACCGTCGCTTTATGAATCTTTAATGTTCTCATTAAGTTTTTATACGCATGCAATTATTTTTTTAAACTTCCTTAAAACAATTATTTTACTTCCTTTTAAGGTTTAAATTATTTGTGAACATTTATTGTTTAAATTTATTCATTGATTGATTGATTTATTTATTTTTTTAAAATAATTTTAAACAAATTTTATTGTTTTCTTCTTAATACATTGCGCACGTTCAATAAAACGGTCTTAACTCAGCGAGTATTCCTCAAACACTGACTCAATAAAACCGTAAAAAGTTGCTGCATTAAGGCGTTGATTTTTAAAAAAGAAAAAATATACAAACTTGAAAATCCAGTTTATGTTGTAAATTTAAAATACATATACACATTCAAATAAACTTCACTTTAGCTGCAATGCAGCCATTGGCTTTTTCCAATCCTCTCATACAAACAAATGTTCCGAAGTGAAAAAAAATGTGGGTCGGTCTATGTATTGTATAATCAAAAATAAATAATGTTTTTAGCTTATTACTTCAATTTATATAGTTAATTTGTGCATGCAGCAGTTTATATACATATATGAGGGTATATACACACATATCCATACTTATACAATTTTAACGAGCATAAAAAGTGTTAAGTGATAAAATAAGAGTATTAAAGAAATTATTATCAAGTATCGCATATAAATACATACGTTTTCATCACTTGAACAAAGATTGAGATAAATGATAACATATTCAATAAAGGTTTTCTTGTAATCATTAGTTTACTTATAAAGCAGGGATTGTGGAAATTGTACTTGCAAGCGAATTCATCTTGGATTTTTTTTTCTTTCACATTTTTCCTTTTTTTTTATATTTTATTTTTCTACATAAAAATTTATTTACCGTCGTTCTTTTTATTGCCAAAAAAATTGTTCTTTTTTCTTTGCTGCTACTCCGTGCTTTTCACATTCTGAATATATTTTTTTTAAATTGGTATATAAGCTTCAATCTCTGATTTTTCGTGTGCCTTTTGGAACATTTTTGTTGCCTCCATGTTTTCTTATTCTTCTCAATTTTCTAAACTGAGTTCTTTATTTTTCTCATCGTTTTAAGTGCTTCAATCTTTTTCGGTGGTTTTTTTGTAAGTGATGTTTTACTGTCACTATGTGATGCTCCCAAGTTGGATTCAATGCTACACTTAGAATCAAAATTGATTGATGCTCTATCCTTTGGAGGAGGAATAAAATTTTACTGTTACTAGAGGACCTAATATAGCCTTAGAAACTTGCTGACAAATAGCTTCAAAACGGATCCAAGGGAATCTTCTGGAAGTTTTCGGTAAAAAATTGCAGAGTCTGTTCAGAACTTAAGATTCATAGCAGTAGTATAATATGTATTGAATGCTAAGCAGTAGTCAACAAATGAAGCTTCACTAGAATCACCCACTCAAATCTAAGCCTAAACTTTATTCGAAACAATCCTTTGAAGACACTTCATCTTGTAGCCAATAAAGTCTCGATTTTAGCTTCACTTCCAACTCCAATGACTCGCAAAATCAACATGCCTTAAAAATTAACAAAAAACTCACTCAATACACATCATTCACGAACAAACCCCATCGATTCCTTCTTCTGTTTCTCAACAGCAAGCTATAAATCTCAAAATATAGTCAGCCTTCCGTTTTACACATTTTCACAGGACTGAAACATTCCGACGTTTATTAAATGCTTCAAAAATAGGGACAGAATGAAATCACGAAGTTATCTTTATTTTAATTTATATTCATTTCGCTGGAAATTTTCAATATTTTTTTTCGCACCATATTTATTAAGTGAAAATTGATCAATAACCGTGCTTGATAAAAGAGAGAGACTCAATCAAGTAGCAATTTTTTTATTTGGATGATGATAAAAGTCAATGCGGTCAAGAAATATAATCAAGTAATGAAAATGTTGATTGAAATGGTTTTTGGGGGAGTTTTTGAGTTGAGACTTGATTGAAAATTTATCAGAATTTCTGTTGTTTTGAGAATGCTGTTGATGAGAAATTGATGAATTTTTAAGAACATTTATTTTGGGGATTTGATGATTTGGAAATTTGATATTAGTTTAGAAACTTAAATGTTGATAATTTTGAATAATTGATAAAATTAAAGAATATTTTCAAAAATCAGTGTATTTCAAGTGTGGTTTTTTAAGAAACTTAATAATTTCAAGAACCAAGTGTAATACAAACCTAGTTTGGATGAAAAGAACTTAAAGATTTCTAGTCAAGAAACAGCTGTCTAAATTAAAAATCGATTTAATACACTGTGGATTATAAAAATCTAAAACTGTAAAATATTTTGTGACTAAGGTCCTAGGTGCTTCTGGTAGCCTTAAAACTCCATCTCAACAAAGCTCTTCATAACACCAAAAACTAATTTAAACTATTTAAAAATTCTAATTTAAATTGAAACAAAACTTACATTTGACATTTACAGTAGCTTGCTCAACGTTCTCTTATAGGGCCATAATATAGAAATTTTATGTTATTTTTCAATCGTGCATGTGGGTTTAAAGCGACAATAATTATGAAAACTTCTATCGATATCTGATTTTAAAGGTGAAAAGTTGCTTGTAGTCAATTATTAAAAATATCACAATAGCATCAAAATTTATGAACATGGACTTTACTTTGCCTATAAAATCAAGACTTAGACTCCCACGCACCTAATAATGATTTTGCATATTTAAGAGCTTAATGGCTTGTTTTTTTTGTCAATAAAATTATATGACACCCTCAGCTCATTAATGAACTTAATTTAGAAAAAATAGAAAATTATAGAAGTTGCTAATTATTGAATATAAAGTAAGTAATCTCATAATTAGCTTATATCAATTACACTAATTTCAAATTATTTAGAATTAGATAAATTAGAGACGATTAAGCTCTGATTACCTCAAAATAATTTTATTGACCAAACTATTGATCGACGTTAGTAATCGACATTAAAAATTCAGTTGCTAGTTCATTTATTCATTTTGTCAAAACTCAATACCGCAAGCAAATTACATGTCTTTTTAATTTATTGAACTATCCCATGTAGGAGATCATTATCTTGTTAGTAATTGCCTTTTTTTCTCAGTGCATCAACCGTATGTTCTTTTAAGAGAAACTTACCAAGAATGTTTAACATCAATTTGTCATCTTTTGTAGAACATTTTAAGAACTTACTGAGTGACAATAAATTATGAGATTGAAATCTACTTTTTTTTAAAATTATTGCTGTGTCCTTTAAAATGTTAAGTACCTTGCTGGTCGAATAGGTAAGGCGCTTGGCTCAAATTTGGGATGGTAACTCGAAGGTCGTCGGTTCGAATCCAGCCATTATCAAATTTGTTCTTTTTCGGAAGTTTAGAAACTTCGACTGCTTAATGTAGGAGATCAAGCCATAATTGGGCATTTGGGCAACGTTGGATTAAGGAACGGGTCAGGAACTTGAAGTGTAGCGGGAGAAAAAGGAACGAGAGCTTCAAGATTACCCACGAATGGAATATTGTTAGAACGGACTTGAAAAGTATCACGTCACGCCCACAGAAGATGGAAACGAGAGCCTTAGTTTATTTGAAACCTAGATTTGAAGATTAGAAGTTTGATCCTACATAATATTAATTCATATGTATACAAATACAAAAGTGTAAAATGTGAATTATTACCGGACAGTATGTCGTCAATAAATGCAATAAAGTGCAATTAAAAATGAAAAAAAAATGAAATCATAAACTTTAGTAAAATCTAGGAATAGGAATTGATAAGAATGTGATTTTTCTAATTGTTCACAAATGATTAAAATTCAAAATTTTGTTTTAATTTTTCACTTAATCGTAAGCCATTAAGATGAAGAGCCCAGAATTGTGTTGATTTGGCAGCAGATTCAGACTACGCCAGACCTACACAGATGCCATTTATTTTATCATCACTTTTTGATACCACAAAAACTCAGCATCATGAATTTAAATTCACATTAAAAATCAATATCCAATAAAAATTTCAATCACCATCATCAACTGCTGAGTAGTTTGCAATAAATTTCTTTTTTTGGGAGAGTTTTTGTGTAAAAAATTCCTTGCAGCATTTTTCCACTGCAACAAAAAAAAAATCGTACCTAAATGATTACAATGAATCACAAAATGTAATGAAAGATACTTGTCAACATGCAACTTAAATAAGGTGTACAAGAGTGCTAAACATCAGTAATGTGACAAAAGAATTTTCAAGCAATACAATTATTATGTTCGTCCCACCCAAAAGTAGTAATTTGCCTGGAGAAATCACGAATTCTTTCAAAAAGTCGTTTAACATCAAAAATATTAACTTTAAAGAAAAAAAAATTATTTTCTTTTATGCTTTTTTTTTAAAGTCAAGTTGTTAAGTTTATGATTGGACTAATCGATGAAAAGTTACAGGATATTCGTCATTTTCAAGTAAGTCTAATGTTTGATGGAAAATCACACTCAGGAGTTTTTAATCGACAATAAAGTTGCATTTTGACAACTATTGAAGAAAATTGCAACATTGAAAATTTTCAACGTTTGGTTCAAAATTGCTGTAATAAAGACTTGAATAGAATCTAAAGTTTAAGAAAAAAATTATGAATTTAGATTTGAAAAATTGCAACCTTTAGCTATTTAAGATGAAATAGTAATTGAAACTTCACTTCCAAAATTTTTAAAAATATGATTTGAATGAGGGGGAGGGGGGTGGGTGGAAATTTGAGATCTTACCCCACTCTTGGTTAGGTCTGGCTTAAATATAAGTCTTGATATTCATTAATCATGAATTCATGTTCTATGGAAATTTACATCAAATTATAGTAAGATGTTCCTTGATTGCTGGGATTATAAACCAAAAAAAGAAATCATTTAACAAATCAATATTTTGTTCATTCCATTATGTGTTTAACATAGACAAAACGATCTTATGTGTTGTGATCTTAATGCTGAATGAAAATATCAATTCACATTGATATTTTTTATTTATATTTTCGAAATTGATGAGATTTCAAAAAGAAATGAAGAATAATAAAAAAGGCATTCAAAAAAAATGATCGAATCGAAATGGAGAGAAAATTGGTTCTGAATAAGATGATGTAGAAGAAGAAGAAGGAATAAAGAGAAGTGAAAGAAAAATTCTTCTTGAAAGCAATTTATTAAATATCGTTATACACCATACATTTGTTTTTTGTTTTTTAATTCTGAAAATATCTAATAATAAATTTTTAAACGTTAATATTATATTTCTATAAGCGTATTTTCGTCATATTTTCAAAAAAAAACTTATTTCATTTAAATCTCAGCTATTATCTAAGGTTCATTATCTCACAAAACTTAGTAAGAAAAATTAGCCAAAAATAATTTTAATTTTATTAAAAACCATTTTGTTTATTATTTAAACATTAATTACATAGAACTAAGTAATAATTTATATTAAATAAATTTAAGATTTTACAAACTTTCTTAATGATTTTTAACTCTTTTTTTTTGTTTTTTTTCAGAATTTTCTTTTTTCATTCAATAATATTTACATCTTTCGAACTTTTTTCTTGTATCTGGAGTTCTTGCTTAATGTCTATCGAGCTTTATGTTCTTTTTTCATTTAAACAGCGACAATATTGATCCATTGGATGAATTCTGTCAGATTTTTCGCGACTAGATTGAATTTGAAGTTTCATTTTGAAGACTTTTGATGAAAACCTAGTTGATGATTGTTAGTTTAAGTAGTATAAGTTAAATGGTTAATCTTGAACTCGAAGGTGAAACATATGAAAACTAGTTTTGAATCCAACTTTATCTAAATATGAAATATGTTCAAAAACTGAAGATTTTCTTGTACCAAGGGAACTCTTGTTGCACTCTATGGGATTGTGAATAGGTTATTATAGAGATTGATTGATTATTCACATTTTATGATCATAAATAGATTTATATTACTTTGGAACAATTTTAAACATTGACTGTAATTACTTTCATTGAGATTAAGTATCGAAAATTTGTAGTTTTTAAAAATAAATTCGTTGAAAACCTGGTTCTGTCTTGAAACGCACTAAGTTCAATTTTGCGACACATTAGCGTACTGTGACACATAGTTTGAAATACTCTGCAAAAGATCTATAGCTCTAACATGCTAAGTTCAGAAGTTTAATTTCACTATGCTTTGGATTATGTCCTAGGTTGTTGACAATAAGGTACGTGGATAGTGTTTTTTACTGATTCTGATTTATTTTCTCTTTCTTAATTTCGATTTATTTGAATTATATGTAGGTTGACCATCTGTTGGACTTTTCACAGGAATGTCCTGTTTTTTTTTTTTTGAAAAAATGTCTCGGTTTCTTCTTCAAAATTGATAGTCACTCTATTCATATGTTTAATTTCCCAAATTAGGGTTAAAGAGAGAAACTATTCAAAGAAGAGGTCCGACTCTTTAAATTAGGTTCGGAATATTTTTCTTCTTCATTTTCAGTTTTAAAGGATGATTAAATTGCAAACATCAATTTCGAGGTTAGGTCCGAACTTCTTGAAACTCAACTTGGCACTTTTTCCCAAGAAATCAAAAATCAATTAAAATTTAAATTACTTTAAAATTATAAAGATACATCGAATTCACGTTTCAAATCAAAATATAAACTTCCAAATTTAAAAATTTGGTGAGATATTTGTGAACTCTCAAAAACGATTTAATCGTTACAAATCTGACAAAAACTCCCCACAATGGATCATGTGTGAAATTGAATAATTATATTTTTTTATCATTTTTTATTTCTCAATTGCAGTCAATTGTTAAATGCTTTATGTAAACAATAATAATGATGATAAGTGTTATTATTATCAATTATAATATGATGAAGAGGGAAATTTTTTTCTGCTTAGTTATCATCTTTCCAAGTTTTTTTAAAATTGAGATAGAGTGGAAATGCTTGAGATATTTCCTCCCTATGTAAATTCTTAACTATGTCTATTTGTCGGACATGTAAATGAATTGAATGGCCAGTTTTTTTGTTATTTTTTTTATCAATTTTTTTCATAATTTTTTAATAATTTTTTTTTTTTGAAAGACAATTTTTTGTATCATTTTTTATATCGATTATAGCTAAGAGAAATAGAGAGAGAGAGAGAAGGAGAGAATGAGAAGGGAAAGAAACTCATTAACGCGGACTTGTACTGCTATTATTATCATTACTTTTAACTGTTCCTAACATATTACTACCATTGTTAGATTGTTGAATAATTTTTGATGGTGTAGATGCATTTTGAAAATTTACAGATGACGTACCAATTTGTGGACGCATCACTTGCGTTTGTTGCGAAAACGGAGCAGTTTGAATTCGTTGTAAAGATTTATTATTTGAGATAACACTTATTGATTGATGTTGTGCCTGTGTTGTTGCAATTGAAGAAATTTGCTTTGTCGGTATTTGATGCTGGGTCTGAGTGCTGTTCTTATTAGCACCAGCTTGTTGGACAGGAATTATATTTGTCGGATAGATCTTATTCTTACTATATTTTGCATAGATTACATTCTTTTCTCCTGTACTCTCAATCAGCATATTCATCTTATTTTCCATTTTTACTCGATGCTGATTTGGTGCTTGAAGTTTTTGTTGCTGTTGCTGCTGATTCTGTTGTTGTTGTTGTTGTTGTTGCTGTACTTGAGGTTGAGATGTTGTCTGATTTGTTCCAATCATTTTATCCAATATAATACTTTGCGGACTTGAGGACGGTATGACGAGTTTACCATGAGTACTCATGTAAAGTTGTGATGGAGTTACAATAATCTTATTTGTTGAATTTCCCCCAGTAGATTGCATAAATGCTGTTCCAGAGCCGGATGTTGATGCTCCCAAAATTATCGGGTTCTTATGCACCAAGCTGAATTGTTGGGTGTTCGATTGCTGATTCATATTGTTCGAATTTGATAAATTAGAATTTAGAGATGAGACTAAAATGTTTTGTTGACCAATTGTAAGATCTGAGTATGATTTCTTTATCAAATTCGCATCGTTCAATGTTGCTATGCTCTTGGCTTTATCTTGCGATAAACCCACCATATATACTTGTTTGAACTTATTTTGATTCACTTAAAAGAAAGAGAGAAATAAATTTTGACATTATTAGAGGAGTGTGCATGATTTATGGATGTTGAGTTTCTGAGTGAGACATAGTCAAGGGGGAAACAACACGATAGGAAAAGATTTATTTTGAACTTTCTCACCAATTTAATAAAAATGATTTTAAGAAATTTCCCATCAAGTTGTTGTCCCCTTTCAAAAACTCATAAAATTATTATGAAGAGTTTACGGATTATGCTTACATGATCTGTCAGCTGGACCATTCAGTTGCTTTCTTGGTGCAGTTGTAGTCAGAACAAAGGTATTATTGTCATACACAATTGACTGCATCTTTTGTTGTGATGGTGATGAAATAATTGTATTTCCGGTATTTACAAATTGTTGCTGTATTACATTTCCAGCATTTGATGTGTTGGCAAATTTGGGTATATTATTACATATCTCTGAATTATTATTTGCAACAACAGTAGCCGTAGCCGGTGTGCCATATTGTAATACATAATTATGGGATTGTAATTCAGCAATTGGAGCAACGATAGATGTCGTGGAAGTATTGCTACTTGAGATGACTTGATCGTTAAAGTCAGACAATTCATTTTCAGTTTTTACAGTAATTATATTGGAATCAACAGCATCAACTGTTAATGTTTCGAGTTCCTTCTCAAATTGCTGTTGAAGGTTTGTTTTCTCATTGATTAATTTGAAGTTACTACAGCCTATTTTACTATTATTATTATCATTACATGATAGGTAGTCAAGATAATCTATACTATTTAATATATTACTGAGCTTATCATTTTGACACTTTCCATCCTCATTGATGTTGTGAACCTCATTCTCTTTTGTCGTATTCTTAAATTCTGCCATATCATTATTAGTATTAAAATCAAAATCTCGTTCAACTGGCTCTGTTTTGATATTTACAACATCTGAAGTTAAATGTTCACTTAAATTGTGAGGTTCTAAACTATTGTTGCGACAATTAAACGTCATCGGTTGGGTTAAATAAGTATTATCAATACAGTTAGTATTTTCAGTCTCATTTTTGCTATCTTCTAGCAGCTGAAGTTCGCATGAAAACTTCTTTGTGTCATTAATTAAATCGGATTCGAATATAACGTCATCCATTAGTGATTGTGGTGGCATTGGCTGGAAGTGGAGCCACTCATTTCGAATTTCATCCATTAAATCTTTATATACATCCTGCTCCGTCTCCAAATTATCTTGCTTATCCTCATTACATTGTTGATCATTACTATTACTATCATTTATCATATTACTACTATTTAAAGTCATTGATAGTGTTTCTGACATGACGAGATTAGTGTCAACATCAACAAGTTTTTGGCTCGTACTTGCATTATTACTGATCGAGCTATTTGTACTGCTGATACAATTATTCATGGTATCAGAATTATATGAATTAAGCACACTCACATTACTATTATTATTATTATTCTTATTAAATAATTCACTTGAACTTAAATTATTGGCGATAGTTTTTAAGTGAAAACCATCATTATTAATATCATTACTCTTTTTACACACTAAATTCTTATTAATTATATTGGAACTTGCGTTCGCACTATCCAGCAATTGTTCAAAATCGTCCAATTTCTGATTTATAGCATCCGATGATGTTGATGATGATGATGTTGAAGATGTTGTTTTATCTATTGACGTCTGTTGTGACATCCTACTTGAGACAACTCCTGTCGTTGTCATCGCCGTTTGATCGTCACTTGTGTCAATTATTTTGGAATTTTCACTCTTTATCACAATGTTATTATTATTATTAATTAAAGGTTCGTTTTGTGATTTCAGGCTCACACTTGAGCCATCTATCGACGTACTGATTGCTGGTTGATTTACTATGCAGGTATCTTTTTCTTTTAGTTCTTGATCGATATCATCGAATGTCTTCTCATTGTCAAATATTGTGAAGTCAAGTTTCGACCAAATATCGTCATAACTTGATGATGCTCTATCTAATAATATACGACCCCCTCGTCCCACTCGCCTTCTCGCAAATCCGATGCATCGGGGTCTAAAAGGATGATATGGATGGATTCAATATTTAATTAGGATTGTGTATGAATGATTTGTGTACATTATATGAGAAAATATTTTCTATGGATATGTAAACTTACCTAGGATGACATATTGATGTTAAAGCAAACCGATATTTGGAATCACATATCTCACTATTCTCTTGAGATTCCCATGGCCAACTTCCGAAATTCTCAACATACGGCTAGAAGTAAAAAGATTTTTTTTTAGTTCCTTAACCTCAAGATAAGTGCTAATTGATTGTAATAAGATTGACTGACATGAGTTTTATTCAAAAATATTAAGACTAGCGGTTTTGAAGTTTAATAACCAGCAGATTGATACTCACTTGATAGTAATTACAATTTCTATTTCTCCTAAATGGATATATGCCTTCATCCTCACTCTCCGAAGCACCCAATTGTGTACTGAGGTCTTCATCGTCTGACGAAAACATTCCATCATAAGGTTCTAAAAAATGAAAGGATATAAAAAGTAATGGTAAGTGAAATTTATCTTCACATTGCAAATAAAATGAGCAACATATTGGTAAGATGGATCTCTTACCTGACGGTTTAATGACTTCACGTTGTGTTTTATGTTTCCGTTTCTTATACTGTCTTTTCTCCTTACGACTGCTACTCGTACTCATTCCATCGAAATCTCTCTTATTTTGTAGATGATGATGATTCAAATGCATACTGGCGAAATTTTGAGAGGAATTCCATTGGTTATTTTGTGAAACTAAATTACTTGATGAGTTATGGTGATAATATTGATTAGAATATAATGGAGCGAATGCAGGTCTGGAAAAGAAGATAAAGATTGGTAATTACAATTTATGTTGTAGCATTTTTTGGATAGTTCTTTGGGAAAATTTCTATTGCGTATTTCTTTAACAAAAGTGCGTTTCCTTTTTGGAATGTACAACATGTTTATTAAGAAAACTTGTCAGAGATTATGACTAAAGTTATACATATGCTAATAAAAATGATTTCTATGGAAGTGAGATATATTATGAAAATAACATTGAAACAGGAAATCATGAAGAGTAAGTTTGTCTTGTTAAGAGCGTTGGATGGATAGAGATGCATATAATAATTTTGGATTTGTTTTTGAGCATCGAAAATCATTTCAATGTTTTTAAGTCTTGAATTTTGAATTATTTGATTGTATTCTACTGCTACCGTGGCACCTACCCTAGCCGTAAATATATTTTAACTTAAGCTTAAATTGTAGGAAATCGATTTTCCTTCTCAGAGTATTTTTAGCTTTATATAGCACTAGAAACCAGCCTTTGGTACACAATTTTTGAAAAGCAAGGCTTTTATGCTTTTAAAACTGCACCAAAAATTGGCGGGAATTTTTCGTTTCGTCCCGTATTTTTATCCAGTTTTTTGTCCCACAAATCATGTGAAACCAGGAAATCGTGAAAGCCCAGTAAAAATGGTTCTTAAATGTTTGTAACAAGAAGAAAGCAAGAGTCCTTCATATTCCGAACTGGAAGAAAGTTTCAAAGGATAGAGGCACCTCTAAGTAAGGTTAAGGGCTCACTCAAACCAAGGAATTGAACATCATCTAATACCGTTGATCAGTTCCGAAACTGACCACATTTTAACATCGATACTTAAAATTATTCTCTTAACAATTTAAAGCAACTGAATAATAAGGGTTAAAAGCCAGTCTAGTTCCATAAATCCAAGAAATTACATTCAGCTTGACTTTAAAAATACAAATTTTAAGGACGAGTCAAGAAGAAATCGCAAATTTTTTCCAAAATATAAAAATCTTGCCATAAGCAATAAAAAGGATCAAGAGCGTACCTTGATTTCGTTGTTGAGGCAGTATATTCTGCAAGAAGCTGTCCGGAGAAATCTTTAGCTTGGTATCGTTTCTCATAGATTTCTATGCTCATTTGTAGCTCATCCTTTTTCATCTTCTCTCTTCGCTTCACCATCTCTAATAATTTTACTGCTCTCGATAAGTCTCGCCTAAAGGAAGGAAGTAAAAATATGATTCTCCGTCATTGCTCGCTTTTAAATTGAACATACCTTAGCTTAAGCATCTTTTCATATGAGGTCTCATCGTTCTTGCGGTTTTTACGTGTTTGCATTTTCTCTGTACGCCTCCTAAATGCTATGTAGGGATTATTTGATGCTGTATTACCACGACAATCTGTTTTTACTGACAATATCAGTGGGTGTTTCTACAATGTGCAAAAGAATGATCATTTGATATAGCTGCAACATATTTATGAAATTTAATCCCCACAAGACAATTATGCTTACCGTTTTAAGTCGTTTTGATACCCAGTAATCAAATACATCCTGACTCACTTCGTTCCTCTTTACTAATGCTTTAGCATCATCTAATGAGCACACAGTTATCTTCTCAAGTCTGTCCATCATTTGTTCAAATTTGTAAGGTGTCAAGTCAGTTTTTGATTCCGATTGCAACCATTGCTCATCGGAACTATCCATATCATAATCTGGTATGTCTTGTTCCAGCGATAACGCTACAAATATGCAAATGAATATTATCTAAATTGCTTTTGATATAATAAAGTTAAATAAATAATTACGTTGCACATGAATGAGTTGTCTTGGCATTTTAAAGTCGGCAGGATACATTTTGTTATACAAATCATCATGTTTCAAACACGTCACTTCTGGCGTTGGGATAATTAAACCTGCCATTATTGCTCTTTGAAGATGATGTTCCTAAAATATTAAATCACATTTAATAAAAATTGAAAGAACAAAAATTTAAAAAATAAAAAAAAATATTTTTTTGTGCCAGTTTGTAAGGAGAGCAAATGTTCATATGTAAATAATAGGAAAACGCGCGGTAAAAATTTAGTTCACATGGTACAAAAACATAAATTAACATAAAAAATTGATAACAGTCACTAAAAAATTTCATTAAAATGCTAAGAAATCATAATTGTAAGGAAAATGTTGAATAAACAGTGATTAATGGAAAATTTTATTTTAATTTTTAAAAATTTTCAGTAGTCAGCCATAAGTATAAATTTGGATTTGTTACATTTTCAAACATGGCTTCACATTGAAAACTTACAGATTCTTCCTCTTTTTCCATGCCACTGGGCATTTGTGGCACAGCCCGATTTATCGCAGAATACTCATGCAGGTCCGGCAGTTCATCTGCGAAGTATATTGGCATTGGCTTTGAGGGATCCAGGGCTCTAGCCCTAAATGAAAGTTTTGTCGACATTTTTTCTTTTCTTTCCTTTTTGTTGATACGAAATTTATTATTTTTTTATATGTTTTGACTTTCGAGACCGCTGGACGGTCCAGCGGAGACCGAAAAACCAATATTATTGTTGTCTAGTTCATTTTAATTACGGTCTTTTTACAGCACTTAGTCACAATTCTTGTTGAATTAACTTTGAAAAATTTTGCTTGAAGAAAATTTTGCTTTTTTAAAGGGGTATTAAGTAGTATCAAACATGTTCCTCTCTTAAGACAACTTATAATACTATATGTGCAAATTTTAAATTTTTTATTTTGCTTATAAATTTACACAATTTTAAATTTTTATGGTAGCTATTTTCACTTTGGAACCTTTTAACTTGAAACTCTTTCACAAAATGATAAGATTGAATCAAAAATTAAGAAAGTTCACTTTTTTGTTTAGATTTGTCTTAACATCAGGGCATTTAAATACGTTATATCGAACTACCTCACCTATTTTCAAAGTTATATAAAAATACGTTATGTTCGAAATGGAAGTTTCTGCCTTTAATGCGCACTATCGTCGTGAAAATTCTCGCTTTCAGGTAAATTGTTGCATGCGGTTTGGAACTGATTTGTTTTTGTTTCAGCTGAAAAAGTTAAAGAATTTATGAGATGGATGCATTTCTTACCTAAAACTTTTTACAATACAATTGACAGGTACTCATACAAAAAAAAATCTTTTTTAATTTTTCAAATTTTATTGATGCATGATGATAATAAACAGCATGATTAATATTGTATATTTTGCAAGAATAAATGAGAAAATGCAAAATGAAAGTAAACACTAGGCAAGATTTTTTTTTAAATTTTATAACATCACTTAATCATTTTATCAATTTCATGACAGTTGTCAACATATAATCTAAAATTTAAATACACTGTCCATGCTTTAAACGGATGATAATGACGACTTACTTTTAAAAAAGTATTATATACGAAGTTTTACAATTTAAAATTGCGTCCAATAATTTTGCTATTATTAGTTTAAGCACGTATTTTGTGTAACTTAATGGACATTCTATGGAAAAATTTTGATTATATGGGGTAGATATGTAAATGAAATCTTCAAATGATACAAAAATTTACATAAGGTTTTAAATTCACTGATCAAAGAGAGCAGAAATATTTACGTTTTTTGAGTTTGAGCTATCTTTAGGCACTTTTGTGAAAATTTGATGATTTTTTTGTGAGGGAATTTTGAAACTTGGTGTTATATACGATTTTGATTGTGACAAATCGACCACAGATACTTCATATTCACATACAAAATCACAGGGAATTATGTAGCGAGGGAGTGGGGTTGTCAAAAATTAAAATTTCTTAAGTTTGCTTGATTCTTTCAACAGAAAAAAATCCGAACCCACCTTTCTTTAAATTTTCTTGTTACAAAAATAAAATCAATCACTCTCAATTAGATCTAGCTTTGAAACAGGTGGTTAAATGTCTAGAAATCTAAAAGAAGCACATTTCAAGACTATACAACTGATCAATCAGGTTTGATTATTTTCCATAAGTTTTAATAACTTTTTGATCGTTTGATTTTTCAAAAAATTTCACAAAAGTTCCCAAATACTGCTCAGATAATTGTTTATCTTCCTAAACTATTCAATACAGTAAAGTATTTTTTTTAAAGAAATTCGAAATTTTGGTATTTAAAAATCCTATGAAAATTTATAAAAAATATTTTGATTGCATCTCTTTTCTTTTGGGAATCTTTAAAGATTTTAAACAATTTAACTTAAAAATTTCAAACAAAATGATTTGATTTCGATTCAATAATTTGAATTTCCTCGAAATAACATGATCAATAACCTTAATTGTTTCACTGTGCATTGTCAAAATAAATTTCACATTTTATTAGCTTACAGAAATTCCAGAACAATCGAATAGCTTTGTAAAAATGAATTTTGAATTTCACCACGTTAAAAAAAAATCATGTAGCACATTCAGCACATTTTATGAATTGAGAAAGCATTCTTGTCAAAATAAACTTCCACAAATAAAAAGAAGATGCATCACAGTCAATCAATATAATTCACAATCGACCATTAACTAGCATGAAGTAATTGTAATATTGCATATGTCAATTTTTTTTAAATATTAACGTAAACTTAATATTGCATTCAGTTACCACGATTTGATATCGAAAAAAAAATTCTAAATTTGTCTAGCTAATTAAGTTTAGACGACTATTTGTTTTTCTCAGCAACTTCTTCCATGGAATTATATTGTCATCCTCATTAATCTTTTGATTCTCATGTCCCGAATCGTAATCTGGCGTGGACTTTTGTTTAGTGTCAATCGTATCGACATCATAGCATTGAATATCAGAATTATTATCACTATTGTCATTGAATGGCTTCATAATTGACGATGATGATGGGGATGATAAGAAATTTATGTTATCGATACTCATCGAACGATGTGCTGTACGAATTTTCCACGTATCATTCATAGGTTTTTGATCTTCATTCGGTTTTGTTTGCCTGTAAATACATGATTATTAGTCTTGCATAATAATGTTCTATGCATCAATATACATGTAATAATTAATTAAAGCATTAATCAGGTTATAAAAAGAAGAATATCATGAAATGACCATCGGTATGAGTAAAATGGAAGCGCTTCTTTTAAAAGCAGTAAATAAGAATAGAATTATTAAAATGAGTCACGAGTCGTTAATTTATTGGAATGGAATTCATCAAGTAAATTATGTTTCATACTATATCTTAATTTTAATCAAATGCTGTCATCAAGAATCAGTAGATTTCAATTTTTAAGTCAGGAAGACAATAATTTACATTTTCAAGATTTAGTGGAACATTCAAGCAACACTAGATTTAGAATCAGATCTGAGAACTTAATGTTAATCTTTTAAATTGCAAAACTAGATTTGTAGCTTTAAAATTTTCAATTCGCACAACGATTAAGAATGTCTGAATAAACAACTGGACATAACAAAGTGAGAACAAGATAACCTTTTAATTTTAAATGCTTCAGAATAAATTGCTAATAAAAAATGCAACTACTACTACCTTAATTTATGTTCAGCTTCTTCTTTACGGGCAATTAAATCCCTCTTCCATTTCGGTATTGCAGACAATCGTCGGTCTTCAGCTTCGCGAGCAAGTCTATCCTCAAATTCTTTCTTAGCCTTTTCAGCTGCTTTCTTTGCCAGCATTTGTCTCTTCCAATCAGGTATTATGTTTCCAAATGTGTCACGATCCGGAATCTGAAAATAATTAATTAAATAAAACAGAAATGAAATCGCAAATTTCCAATTGATGGAACATAAATTGTGTATATATTATTTTTTTATAACGTAGTGCTTTAAGTGCATTCATTCAATTAAGTGATGTGTGAATAAAGAAAGACTCTTGAATGCATTTACCGTATCAATAAAATTTTCTATTGTAAACTGATCAGAATATACCTCACTATTGCGTTCCATTTTAGCACGCTCAACCTTCATTTTTTTTATGCCTGTTATATCCTTTGACATCTTTAATTCAGCAATCAAATCAATTTTCATATTTTGTGATGTATATTGATCGTTTGTTGACGAGAGGCACTGCATGCTAATTGAACGCGTGGGTGCTGAAAATGTTTTCGATAACATTTTGTTATCAGTTCGACGCAGCTGTACACTGTTTAAATCTTGTATGGATATTGATGCTAATGGTTGATGTTGTTTCTTAATGATTGTATCTTGTGATGGATTAATTTGATTTCGATTGACAGTATTTGATGGAGGCAATGGTGGTGGAATTGGAATATTTGACTCAATCTTCAAATAAAAATATTTCATTTAATTTAATTAAATTAAGATTCATTTTGATTGAATGTCAATTTGCAATTACCTTGTTATTTTCAGTATTCGTATTCAATCCACTTTCGATTATACTTTCAGTTATGTCTTGATCCGTTGGATTTAATACTTTCTCATTAAATTTAATTGGCATATATTCTTCTATATCTGGAGACCTTTTAATCATATGAGAAAATTATGATTATTCAGCATAAATCACTAATTCCATTAACTTTAATTTTTCTCACCTTTTCAAGCCTACTCCAGATCTCTTATCAGTTGTAATACTTTTTAAATATTCAGATGGCTTAATTAAATGATTTGAGCTATTTGAGGCACTATTAGGGAACGTGATGATAGGAAGTACCAATTGCTTGTTGACTAATCGTGGTCCTTTCGAGTCAATCGATCCGTTATACAAACTTTCTTGATCTTGATTCGTGAATTGCTCAACATCAACTGGTGAATTTAATATATTTGCTCTAGTTTGTTGCTGATGAACTCTTCCACTATATTTACTATTGCTGGTGTTGGTGTTTACATGCTCATCACTTTGATGGTGTTGGGTTTTATTGTTAATAAGTTTGGATTTCTTGCTCGCTGTACCGAATAAAAACGATATAAATAATTTGTGCTTAAGCTGTATTGTAACATTTCTTTCCCGATTTACTGTGCATTAATGAAAACATATACTGTGTTGTATGTACATATCTATATAGAAAAAAATTTATCTTTTCTTTTGTTTCTTTCCTTCATTCGAACAAAAAAAAAGTAAAGAGTTGGTAAGAAGAAAAATGTTTGAAGCACAAGAAAAATGATTTTCATCAAAAAAGCGCAGTTACGCGATTTAATTTCGATTAAAAATATTATATAGATATAAATTCATGATTGCATAGTGTCTTACGAATATGAGAAAAAATTTTTTTTATATAAATCCCCGCCGTTCATATCTTACCTGAAATCATCGATAAACTGCGATTATTATTGCCACGAACTAATTCACTTGGACGTAATGTAGACTCCTCAACAACTTCCAAACCTGAATCTGATTCTTGATCTGTAAGGGAAAATTTACATGCACTTCTTATCAGCACCGGATCTATAAAGAGATCAAAGGAAAACTTACCATTGACTTGGTCCGAATTTGCATGATCATCAAGTGAATCATCGCTGTTTCTATAATTTCTTTGCATTCTATTATGCATACCAGAATGATTCCATTGAGGCAGTGGAGGTGGCAATGGTGGTGCTTCAACTTTCACTGTTGGTGATGTACTGCTAAGCATCACTTGATGATGCGCTTTAATTTTATAAGATTCTTCATCTGGCGGCTCTACACATTCATATGTTGAGTCTATGTTAAGCATACGATGATTTTGATTCATTTCAGATATTGATGATTTTGGCTTTTCATATCTCATTATTTGATTTTGTTCTTCTTCAGATGATTTCTATGTATGGAACCAGATGTTGAGATTTAATAGGAATTAAACATAATAAGGCAAATAACTTACAATAATTTTCATATTAGTATGTATAATAATTTCGTGACTTCTTGTTGAGCTTGTACTAGCTGATCGACTATGTGAGCCACTGTCTCTCGAGCGGCTTCTTCCGCATGTCACTTTTGCAATTTTTGCTTCCTCACGTACTAAATATATATCCTCATAATCATGATTCGAATTTTGAAATGTTGCTATTTCATTCTCTTGATAGCTGCTGTTGTTGTTATTTTTATCGCATGCGGCATTTTTCGGAATCATTTCATGTGTATCATCATCACTCACTGTTCCACTGCTACTCGAATGAATCTCAGCTTGCACCGTCATCGCATTACTTTTACCAATTGACTCCTCTCGTACGCTTGTATCTGATTCGAAAATATCTCTAACTCGATTATAAATAACCTCATGTGGATCATGCAAGAAAAAGCTTTCACTGCTCTCGGTGCCACATGGACTTGGTGGTGAAAAATTATTTCTCATTGGATTCACAAAGATTCCATCATTTGGGAGTGCATTGTAGTATGGTGAGCAGCTACTTGTTGATTCATATGCTGGCTTGACTGACATCAAATCCTAATGAAATTGTTAATAAAGAAAATTGAGCATTTGCTGTTTGTTTTTATGTAATTATTTATTTTCGAATGAACAGCATGTGCTGCACATCGTCAAAATATGACGGATAACATGTAGGAAGTTCTCATTGATTTTTTTGATGTTCTCAATGAAAGTTGAAATATATTGACAAGCGAGTAATGAAAGTGAAAACTTGTTGGATATGAGAGAACATATGATTGACTTATCACGAAAAGCTTGTAGCTATTTATTGTGGTTAATCAAGCGATACTTGGGAGCGATTTTATTTTGGTTTTTTGTTTTACAATTTATTTATATGAAAAATGCATTCAGTAAGCATTATTCAGATGTTTTGAAGGTTTACTGGATCTTAAATATTTCGGGGACGGTTTTGAGGATTATGGTATCTGGTAGACATCAGCAAAATATTAGTAAGATTTCTAGCTTTGAGATTATGACTATGAAATAGCTTTTGATCATCAATGATCTTCATAGAAGGTTTCATAGCTCTGTGACCCTACTTTGGTGTCAAAAAACAAAAATTTCTCGAGAAATTGATTGAAAAAATTATCGACTGCAGTCGAGCCTTTATTTTGCTAATCATTGACAGTTATATGAAACCTAATGGACTCCATAGAGTGTTAATAAAAGCTTTTATATAACAAAGTTGTTCCTTTTTCACTTAAATACTCTACAAATATATCCCAAAAGTTTACTTACCCTAACTTGTTTATTGCACGTCGGTGGATGAAGATAAAATGGTTCGGAATCAGAATTTGATGATGAACATTTAAGGAGAAAATTATTATTCAATGCAAGCTTCTCAGATCCTCTCGTTTTAAATTTATTACTAGTAGATGACGACATTGCCAAATCACTATGTTGAACAAGCAAATTCAAGCACTCTGTCTGCTGATTTTCAGCTGCATCATTAATTGGACTCTTTCCGTATCTAAAAAGGTTAAGTAGGAATTTGTTGACATAACGGAATAATTTAATATTAATTCAATTTCATACTTATCAACTGATAATTTGGCTCCGTGACTGATCAACCATTTAACAACATTCATGTGTCCTAATTGGATTTAATCACATTGTTACGGTAATTTTAATTAATAAATATTATTATATCACCTCTTGAAGCTGCAAAATGAAGTGCTGTTGCACCATCACCATCTCTAAGATTTGGATCAACTCCTTGATCTTCAACCTAGGAATTTAACAATAATTAAAATGTGATGTAAGGTTCAAAATATGTGTTAATTATGCTGTAATAAATTTCAGATGCGGTTGTAAATTTTAATGCATCATATTTTTATGGGTGAGATGTGATTTGCAGATTTATTTAATAAATTATGTATCCAGGTGCGTTTATAATAGATTTTGAAATTATGAGGGATATGGAAGGTTGTTATGAACATGCAATCAGTTAGATAAGCATTCATGAGTTTGGAAATATTTCTTTAAGGTTGAAAAATTGCAATCAAATTCAGGAATTACAACAAAATACTAAGAAGCTAATGATTGTTGAATTTCTAAATCAAAAGGAAGGCATTCAAAAACTCTGTGATCTTTTAGGATTCGCATGATTTTTGAATTTGTGATGATAGGTGATGATTTTGGTCAAGGATCAAGGAAGTTCCTTAATCTTGATTTTGTTTAACGTTTTTATCAATTCTTGGAGTAATTTTAATATCCAATTTATTTGACTATTTACAAATAAGTGTCTAGCATTAAAGCATTGAAAATCATCGATCATTCAACTCAAAACAATTTCAATTCTAACTCCAAACTCCAAAAAAATCACAAATTAAAAATGAATAGGTGATAAATGGCATGGGCGTATCTCATCAGCCTATAAACCAAGTCGAATTTTATTTTAAAGTTTTAATTAACGCTAAAATCGTCAAATGATTAATTTTTCGGTTGACTTAAACCCGATTCTTGTAAAATTGAAAAACGAAAGTTTGTTATTGTTAAAGATTGGACTGCACGGTTGAAAAACTAATTAATTTTTCTTTTGTCATGCGGAAGTATTGAATATTTTGCACACAAAATTAATAAAAAAATTTTTACATCATCTTTAATGGACAATTTTTTTCGCTTTTGCCTGCATATCAGCATGTATAATGGAATTATGGGATTTTCAAACTGATTATCGAATCTATGTACATGCACTTAAAGTTAAAGACGTCAACAATGAAGTCATTATGGATTTGCAAGCATATGATATGCCATATAAGTGCCATATGGTGAATATGAAAAGCTTTTCGCGTAAATTAAATTTGCAATTTATTGAGATGTGAATTTAACTGCCTTTGTAGCAGAATTGATGTTGAAATTACTGCAATCTGCACATAATTTTACAGGAAGTAGCAATTAATCATTCAAATTGCTATACAATTTGCTCTTCGAGATCAAAGCTTACAAGTTTCTCACAGCTAGTTCAACAAACTTTTTATTTAATTCTTACCATCCATTTTAGAACTTCTAATCTGTTCATTTGACTTGCAGCATGTAATGCTGTCATTCCGTCTTTTGCTCTAACATATAGTGAACCTCCAGACTCAACTAAAAGTTTTAAAACATCAAGATGCCCTTCCTGCAAATGAATTATAATAGCATTCACAAAGTAGATTAAAATAAGAAACGATAAAGCAATTTTATGTTCAATTAACTTACTTGTGCTGCCAGGTACACTGGTGTGACATCATTATCCATTTGAGTGTTTGCACTAGAAGTAAGCAATCAATGTAAAGAAATTAAAGAAAACATAAAGAAGAAAGAAATATGCTGCTTGATGGTCGTGTCATGATTTTTTTTACATACTACATACTTTATGCTTGCATCGATTTAGAACAGATAGTGAAAGCTCGATATCTAGTTTTAATTGACGATATTGATAGATATTTATAGATAATAAAGTTAAATAGCTAGTATTAAGTATATATATTGTCTCATTATTACTAGAGAGAAAGTTTCATATTGTTTTCTCAATAAGCATTACCGCAGCGACAAACAGTTGTGGATTATAATATAATCCAAAAAATATTTATCTTAATCGATAGTTGCTTAACAATTGATGGCAATAATGACATTTGAAATAGAAAAATGTTTGATGCACACTAAATGAACAGCTCGTTACGTCTACGATCGTTAAAAAGTGATGTTCTAATTCATGCAGAAATGAAAATGAAATTCTTTTTCTTATTTGCGCTGTTGACCACAGTTGTTCTAGTTTTAATTTCCATAAACTGGATCTAATTGAGAACGCGGGAGATTGTTTAAAGGAATTTTATTTTCTATTTTTATTGCCTTGTTCTGAAGATGTTCACCTATTTTTCGTACTGGATGTTTGTTTTGTGAAAGTGATTTTCCTTTCGATTTTAAGTGACGCATTGAGAAGCAAGAAAGACTGTTTTAAATTCAGATTTTAGATTCTTATTGCGTTAATCTCTTGGATTATGACGCAGTGGTTAAGAAGTTCTTTATTCTGGAGAATATAAAAATATGTAATCATGTAAAAGAAGATAATACTTTTGTAGCTACTTCTCCCATGCCTAATTACTAAGATTAAACTATCAATTAATGAAACAAAAAACTATTTACAAGCTCATCGGAAATTAACCACGGAACATCAATTTTATTTGTATTTATTTCTTACATATGTTAATGCATAATTTTACATCAGCAGATCTTTAACCTTCGACAATATTTATATAATCAGGAAGTGTCTGCAAGAGTGCAAATAATCACTTTAAAGCAGGAATTTTCATTGTAAATAAAATATTGTCAATATAATAATGAGTGAATCTAATTATTTATGGTCGGAAGTATCCCGGATTTGCGGTTTGTTTACTGTTGACAATGCGAAATTACTTATGGCTTGCAAAAGCTTATAAATAATAAATATTATTTAACATACATGTGAGGATTAATTTAAATTTTTATTGATTATGTCTGACTAGATTTATTTTTGTGGGTGTTTTAATCTTGTAATTTACAAACATCTTGTTAGCAGCCATTAGCTGTTTAATGCAGTTTAATGAGATTTCAAGAAGATTAATTGATCATTTCTTTTGTAATAAATGTAGGATATTAGTTTTAATTTATCATATATGATGAGAATGCAAATTTATGAAACTTATGATTAGACAATTTGGCAATATTTCATAAAGAATGAAGAATGCAATTCAGGGATGAATAAATAATTTAATTTTCAAATATCAACTTGTCTCTACTTTCCTTATCTTATTTGAAGTTATATGATTAATTTAAGATTGATTTCTTTTCCTAAAAAAGAATTAAAATCATTTTTGAAAAACGTCCAGATATGTCATTGATTAAACCGTTTTGGGTGGAGGGGATCAAATATTGAAAATTTGGAACTCAAATAATATCAAAAAAAAAATAAATTAAACAATTTAATTTCAAATTTCATCACCTTTCGTTTTTCGCGTGCTCACAAAATATATCATAAATCTTCAGTTCCAATGCACAATAATCAGTTTTGAGTTGAAATTTTCACACTCATTTAACAAAGAATTCAAACAAAAGCATTAAAAACATCAACAGAATCCAAAATAGAGCAGACATAGCTGATCTAATTTAAACAAAAGAAAATTGATAAATTTTGATGAAAATAAGCCACATTGAGTACACTTGAAAACAAAAGTGGCTCTGCTGAAAAGATAATTGTTTAAGCATCTTTTTTTTCAATTTTCTGTGAAAATGTGTCATGATCTGATTTTTTTTTACCATACGTCTATTAACAGAATGTATGTACTTATGTTAAATTCATGGCTAAGTGCATCCAGAAAAAGAAGATGTTTCAATTTTTATGAGACAGTCTAACAAGATTTTTAAGAAAATTGGAGCCTCGCTGTTATTATGAAAAATATCGCGAAATTTCTGAAATGGAACAGCAGTTTTTATTGGTGCAAAATTGATGTTCAAATTGCCAGAAAATGTGCTATTTTTCTAAGATGATGATATCAATTATTTGAATTTATGAAAGGTTATGTAAATTTTGATTTGTATCAAGTCAGGAGTTGGATGAATATTTTTATTTTGTATGTTAATAATTGTCAACTTGGTTTGGTTTAGGATTTTCAAAGTCAGCTATTTTAAAGAATTGTAATATGATTTGAAAAAAGGAATAATTAACAAAGGATTAATGATTTTGGTTGTAACATTATTGGCTTTATTAAGGACACTGGAATTCTAGCATAGCGACTTGAGATGGTAGAAACAAGGGTGTGGTACTCTTGGGTACAACAGATTATCGATCACAGTGCCGATTTTGCTGTAAGCAAAACCCTACATTACATTCTATTCTATTCTATTATATTCTATTTAATTGTAACACAACTTAGCTTAATATTAAGATATTTTAATCCAATTTTAATTAAATTAATAAAAGTCATGATCACAAAAATATTCCCAAAACTACCTCTAAAATACCTCCCAAAATCATTGTCAAAATTCCAATTATCAAAAGTGATTTCCAAATTTTCCACGATCATTTTAAATTAATTTTCCCACAAATCATTTTATTAGATAAGATAATTGATACGGTTAAAGCATGCTAAAGAGAAATAAATTTTACACTTTCAATTCGTATTAGTTATCTTATTTTGAAAAGAAGCAAATCAATAAATTATAAATTTTTGAGCGTAATTTTCGGTAGACATCAATAAAACTATTTTCTATTTTATCACGTTTTGCGGAATTTTCTTCGATGTTTTGATTTTTCATTCATTTCAATCAAAAATGAAAGTTAATCGTATCATTAAATTTTTTATTTGAAGCTCTAACGTGTCATGAGTGTTATGAGCATAGTAATAATGAGGAAATATCTGTTTATGATTATTTTTTTGCTAAATTTTCCGGAAGAATATGCGGTGAATATGTTAAACGTTTTTAATTTCTTTGTTTTGAGGTATGCCTTGGTTCTAGTAAATATATGCGATTGCGATTACACAATCCTGATAATTAAAATTCAATTTCAATTGAAATTTGCTAGGAAAGACGCAATTATAGTGTTTAAATTGAAATGCATTTTGTTTACCATTTTTTACGAGGTATCATAATAATAATAATTATATATGTTCAAATTGCAAAATTACTCGAACAGACCGAAAACAATAAACAACGAAATTGATCTTGAGATATGAAGTTATGTCTGTTATGTACATGCGCTGTGATTTAGAGGTGTTATTAGAGATTTATTGATGTGACTTCGAATAACTTGCTCAAGTAAGCAATTAGATTATCGTTCATAGTAATTAAAGATGGAGATACTAAAGGAGTTGCAAGTTTTTACTAGATTTTCTGGATTAAATGCCTGAAAGGCATATTAGCTGCTAATTGAGGAACTAATCGAATCAAAACTTTCTTATCTTTATCTTTTTAGCTTTAATTATCGATATTGTGACTTAATTTAAGCAAGTTATCAATTTATTAAATTTTGGGGGTTTTACTCTTTAACTGTAAAATCAAGTTTTGATCAATTTTGTAACTCATTTTGATCAGTTCTACACTCATTTGTTGATTTACAAACATTAGTTCTTATACTTCAAAATGAAAGTTTTAAATCTTAAATTAGAGTTGTCATTTTGTTGTAAGAGATTGACACTGCTTACAACCATATTAGTATCCAATTTTACACCAAATTTCCGTTTCAATCCAAAAAAGTCATCAAGAACTTAACATTTTTCATTTATAGCCAAACATATTAAATTCCCATTTTCCAGCATGCTACACATTCTATCTTAACAAAATATTTGATGATACCTAATATCAGTTATCTCTATGCTTTCATTCTTTCCATTAGGAAACATTCTTTTACAAAATATTCAGTTATATACAATAGATGTGATTGATATGAACAGATGATGAACCCATTAAGATTACACTTGGTCGTGATTCTTAGCTGTTTATGATTAGAACTAATTATTTTTAACAGTTTGTTGAGAGTTTGCTTTAAAAGCTTATTATGTTTATGGCTGTTTATGGATTTTGAATTTGCTTGCTAGAAAATTTTGGAATTTTTTTTATGGTTTGTAGAGGATTTACAGCATGATTTTGGATGTTTAAATGAAGTTTTAATTCTTAATTACAATTTATGCGAAAGTTTTCCTTCTCACCTCTCACGACTGATCACATAATTGTCAATTCACAAACTTTTGAGTTTTCACGATTTGAACAACGAAACTTTAAAATTAAATTCACTCATAAACCAACAAGGAACTCACGAATAGCTGCGAACAGCACTCATAAATCAATCACGATAAAATACACAATAGAAAACTTATGCCCTGCTGAAAATTTCAGCAAGCGAGCAAATTATGAACAGTGAAAATGATTTAAAAGCCTATAATTAAAATCATTAGATAGCCCCAATAAATAAAAGCAATTTGAAGATATTTTTTAAAAATGCACGATGAAAATCATTAAATAATAAAAATTGTATGAAAGTCATTAACAAAAAAAAAAAACAATTATCATACCTAAGTCTTAAAGCTTCTTGCTTCTCGGTATCATTAGTATTTGTATTACTATGTTGACGATGTGACTTTGTTGTCTTTTCGGGCAATACGTTATATTTATAATTTAATTTCGATGAAAATTCATAATCAGATTCTGTAGAATCACTCTTGATTGTCGCTTGTGGTTCAACAATAATTTTACTTTTCTTTCGTCTCCGATTCACCAAGTTAGGCATTTCTGATCAACTCTTTAACGCTTATTTAACTTTTTGTGATTTTTTTTGTTTTGTTTTTCTTTTGTGAAAATATTTAAAATAATAATATTTCATCAATTTTCAGCATAAAATTTTTAAATACGATTCACTTCACCCTAAAACTTTTCTTTTTTATTTTTCTTCTTCTGTACACAAAAAAAAATTTTAAATGAAAGAAGAAAAAAAAACTAAACTAAACTATAGGAAACAGTTTGCAATGCTTTCTCGTTTGAAGGCAAATACTGAATGAATTGGTAAAATGAGAGTACGAAGAAATAACAGTTTTCAGCATGAAAAAATACATTGAAATCGTTCCATATTCGATATGATATGCTCAAAACATTCATTACTTTCTGTTCATATTTTCTTTTTGTCTCATGTGTTTACGCTGAAAGATATCATCGCACATATCATTAAGGATGTGTCTTGTAAATATTTTTAATAGGCTTATTATCAATATTGTAATTGCTTTTATAAATTGTAATCTTTTCTTTTCTTTTTTGAATATTTTAAAGAAAGTGGGGCTTGATTGGGAAAATAAGGAAACAATTTATTTTATTTTGAATTTACACAATTTTTTGAACCAACTTTAAAATTTTTGAACTTAGTTTTTTACTCATATTTGAGAATTTTTCTCAATTTTTTCATTAATTGGAGATTCATTCATACTTTTAATCTGTTAAGAAGATTGAGAATTTTAGTCGGCATTCTTCTATTAGCTTATTATCTACTTATTAGGTGATTTTAAACTATTTTCAAGTAATTTAAATTTCATTGTTTTTATAAACATTGAAAAAATTTTAAGTTCAAAAATTATATTTTTGAAACCTATTGATTTTTTGAAAGATTTTCAAATAATTCGTGATTTTTGGGTTTAGTTCAAAGAACCATGATGAATTAAGAACCATGAACCGCGATTCTTGAAAGAACTAAGTTTGTTAGTGCATTTATGAACATAATTCGAAGTAAAATTGAGAATGATTAAATCAAAGATAAAATAGAGAGCTTAATGTTTTCAATTTAAAGAACATTTCCGCAACAAAAAGATTGAATAAGATTGGAAGAAATGGTTGAAAAATTGAATATCACGATTATTAACAATCAAAATCCTTTCGCCAAATCCCAATTGATTATAAACTTCATGCATCTATCAAGTCTTTGTCGTAATATTGTGGCTTAAAACCAGATTCATTAGAAGTATGTTAGTAAGTAAGTATTCTATCACTCATGTCTCATCTTGCATGCACACAGTCATTATTCCCTCTTTCATTCATTTATTTGTCGGTCAGTTGATGAAAGAAAATGAAATGGTATGTGCATGTTGGCAATGAAAATATTCGCTTCTTGTTTTAACTACAATGTTTACCTTATATCCCGTGACGATTCCAATATCATTTCTACACATTCTATACAACCTCGAGCTGCAGCATAATGAAGACCTAAACTTCTATCATGTGCATATGAATCTGCTGAATCAGCAATAGGTAATATCATCATCCCGGACTGATTGAAAGATTTTGAATGGTCATGGTAAGTTTTTCGTCTTTCTGCCAGATTTATAGAGTTTAGAAACTTTTTTTCACTTTGTCAAAAATCTTTTTTAATTGACTTTGAATATTTTATTAATTAAAATCGCTTATTTAGAAGTAATCTGCACTATTCGTTAAGAGAAAGTGTTTATAAATGCAATATCCAAAGTGAAACTGTTTGTTTTGTATTATCTCAATTGAATTAAATAATAACAAAGTTTTAACTGATAATTAATTAAGCGATTCTTCTTAAAATCAACAACTTTTCCACGTCACGATTTAGAAGCACTGCAATAAAATTCTTATAATGTGCACCAACTTAATTTTTTTTTTTTGGGGAACCGCAAATGCTTCTGAGACACGTCTTTAAAAAATGATCAGACGAACGAAACTAATTTTTACTCTTGACTTAAAAAAAAGTTACTTGAAGCTCTCTAAAAGCAGCGGTATAGCTTATTAAAAATCTCTCTCTCACGTGTTTTAACACTCAGATAACGCTTTTTGCTGTTTTGGTATGCATTGTTATTATTTTCTTTTACTTTTTTTTTCTCTTACTTTATAGCTACAGTTTTCAATTTTACTTGAATTTTACGAAAAAAAAGAGGCTGGGATCGTTCATTTGAAACGTTCAAAAATTGTAGAGGTATTATTTATTAATGAAAATCTAGGAGAGGTGGGGGGGGGGGGGGGGGTTGAAAAAATAAGAAGATAATTCTTCCATCATGTTATTTTTTCTCGCTTAACAATCCTATTAAAATGAAGAAACGAATATTTATTGCTCTATCAGCAACATCCTATCCATACCCCCCCCACTTTAAACGTCATAACTGAACAAACCCCAACCAAGGAAAAAGAAATACTTAAAATCATGATTTGACTATAGTTTTTCCATCTATCGAATGTATAATCTTATTGAGAGAGAGAGAAACGATGAAAAGAAACAAAGTTAATTGCCATTAATGCCATTCAATTGATTCGCGAAATTCTACAATAAAGATGTATTTTGGGCATCATGATTCATTTCAATTATCATTAAATTAGCAAATATATTTCAACATTAGACTAATGAGTCTCAATAACCATTCACAAATAGATTTTGGTGTTAATAAAGTCCATTTTTTTAAGTCGATAACTGTCACATGTTGAGAAAACCAGTAAATAACGAATTTTTGAAATTTGAATTGCCCTTGGAAAAAATAGAAGTAGCAACAAGGCAAAGAAACTCGAAAATTTTGCTGGTATTGTTGAGAAAAAAAGTTCAGAGCAAACATCATTTTGTTAATTTCTTTGATTTAGACAATTTAGTCACAGAAAAAAAGAATGTATTAAAGTGTTAATCATCCATTTGTGTACTTTCCAAAATCCTGCCATAATTGAAGCTTAAAATTTTTTATCAGTAGTGAAAAAATGTTAAATTCCTGCAACTTAAATTTCCGATGTCTTGCACCAAAAGATTCTGGCAGTGAAGAACTGCTTCCGACATCATTAAATCATCGAGAACCTGTTATATTAAATGTCTACGATATGGTGAATTGAAATTTTAATACAATATGGAAAAAATCCATTAAAAGTGTAATTTTTTTACATCAACAAACATTTTCTTTCTTAATTAATTTTAGTACTGGATTAATGAGTATACAACGAGTTTAGGTATTGGAGTTTATCATTCAGGCGTCGAGATTTACGGATCAGGTGAGCATTGATGATCCAGTAATGTGATTTAATAAAATATTGATGAAATTCGCAGAAAAAGTGTACTTCAGTGTGAACTAATATATAATTAGCGTATTTTTGTAAGGAACAAAATGCTTATATGTTCACTTTGGTACGCTAGCTCATTCAGATAGTTAAATTAAGTTTTATTGCAGCTTAATTTACTTTTGCATAACATACGAGTTTGACAGAAAAATTTTAAATTTGAAAAATCAGTTATAAGTTTGAATTCGAATAAATCGTTATATGAAAATCCAAGGCCATAGAACTCCCAAAATAGTATAGCCGTGAGTCAGCATTGTGCAGTAACGTATACAAACTATTGAGTAAAATTAAGTTAATATGAGCATAGTGTGGTTAAATATTGTAAAGTAAACCAAAGTATAGTAGAATGTAGCAAGTGTAGTTTAAGTGTAGTAAAGTGTTTTAAAAGTATAGTCAGTATAGTAAGAGTATAGCAAGTGTAGTAAAAGTATAGAAAGTGCAGCATCCTAAAACTGTTTAAAACTTTAAAAACCAAAATGTTTAAAGTTGATGTGCATTAATTTTGAAATAATGCATATTTTACCATACCATTTATTTATAAATAGTCAATATTATCGCAACTTAAGAACCGCTTATTATTTGAAATTTCATGCATTAAAATTCTTTTAAGTCTTAACAAAGATAAAATGATCCTTTTCTTATATAAAAAAATAACACTGTTAAACTAAATTCAAATATTTAAACATTAAGGATGTCTTCCAAATTTCGAAGAACAGTAACGAAAGAAAAGTGCACTGATAGAAATAATTGTATGGTTTTGAGGAATAACATAAGAACAATTAGTGAAAATAAAATAAGGAAAATAATAAAAATTATGAGCTATCTGACTTTAGAAAAGGTGAGACCGGATGGGGATATGAAAAAAACCAAGAATAAAAGGATAGAAATAGACTTCTTGGTTGTAACTGAATTTGGGAAGAAAAAAAGCAAATATAATCCCTACAACATGCCCGGATATAAATTATTTACGGCACTAAGGATTGATAAAAAAGGTGGCGGAGTGGGAATTTACGTGAAAAATATTTTAACTGGGAATCATTCAACAATAGATCAAATAATCACAAGAGACGAAATTTCGGATGTGATCACCCTTACTTCTGATGAAGAAGTAATTAAGAATATATCTGATCATAACTTACTTGTGTATATAAAGCCGGGAACAATCCAAGCGAATAATAAGTCTCGGTGCCTTCAGCTAGACGAATAAACAAAATGAAAATTATTAATGCACTGAAAGAGGAATTACCAAAGATACCGATAAATATAAATCCTCAAATCTACTGTGAATATATTATGGCAAAAATCAAGGAAGTGAAAGAGATGAAAACAGTACAAATTACCCTCAAAACAAGAGATAATATGGGCGATTCTCCAGGATGGTAGAATTTTGAAAAATAAGCTTTTTTAATCCAAGGTTGTTTGTGTTTGGATGATAAAAATCTTTTGGTTAATATCTTTTTAATACATTTGAGTTTAAATATCAGAACAGTCTCAAATCATCAAAAATAATTATTCTATTAAGTTTAATTAATAGATTTACATAATAATCAAAGAGAAGAGTAGTATTTTAATTTTTTTGATTCGTTTTTCTGGTAATTTTTTTACGGATCGGTAAAAAAAAAAGCTTAAAAATGCTCCGTGACATAAAGTTGACGTTCGGAGAATCGATTTTTCTCTTTAATTAAGCTGCTTTCCTTAGATTTGAAGCAAAAGTATTATAGAACTGATAATACTCTACCATTTGATATGCATTTCATGATGCAAACATAAGAATTTCATGGATAAATATTGATTCCCCTATTGAATTTTTTGTAAAAATGAATCAAAATATCTCAAGAATTAAGCTAATTAATGGCTGTTACAACAAGTCAACAGATAGATAATGGAAAAATACATCAGAAGACCTGAAACCCTAACATCTTTTAGTAAAAAAATCGGCCAAAAAAACAATTTTAAGTTAAAAATTTTTGATTTCCCCTATAGAGAATTGCCCATATTAAAAATATACCAGACTGGATGGATTTCCAATACATAAACCAATCAAATGCAATTTTTAACTTGAGAAATAAAAAATCGCGGCTTGAAAGACAATCAAGACTCACAAACTTATTACAAAAGAAGATTCTTGCACTAGAAACAGAAAAAGAAAATTATGCTGCTAAACGTGTTTTATGGTTTTATAATGATAGAATAAATTCAAACACTAAAGAAATGTGGAAAGTGCTACACGAAATGGCAGGAACTAAAAAGTCAAAACTTTCGATAAAGTTAAACGTTAATGGGATGATTACATCTGATGAGCAAAAAATTTCTGACTGCTTTCAAGAGTATTTTCTCTCGATAGTTGGCAAAAAAAATGAACGAAATGATAATGGAATTAATTACGTACCCAATGAACATCTTGCAGGCAAATTCTCATTCAAGAATGTAGACGAGAACAAAATAAGGCTGTTGTTGAGAGATCTTGATACTGGAAAATCAGCAGGCATAGATGAAATATCTCCTTTTGTATGGAGTCAATTGTATAATGAGGCTGCGAAGCCAATTCAGATCCTCTTCAATTCAATAATAGATAAATCGGTATTTCCAGCAGCCCTCAAACGTACGGTGGTTATTCCTATATTTAAATCCGGTGATGAATACGAAGCTTCAAATTACCGTCCTGTTTCGATTCAAATCTCGCTAAACAAAGTCCTAGATAAAGATGAATGAATTACTGGATCCATATCAATATGGTTTTACAAAAGGAAAAGGATGCTCAGATATTATAGCAAAGGTAGCTGCAGAGACATCAAAGGCAGGAGACAAAAAGAAAGTTGTCATTCTAATATCTTTAGATCTGTCAAAGGCATTTGACAAGTTGGATCATAACTTGTTAATAAAGAAATTACAAGATATAGGCTTCGACAAAAAGGCTTTGGAATTAATAAAAGACTATTTATCGAATAAACATCAATATGTGAGAATAGGCGACAAATTGAGTGTTATTGGGTTGATACTGTCTGGAGTTCCACAAGGAACAAATCTAGGACCACTATTATTTTCAATGTTCATCAATGACATGAAGCGATTGCCTACACACTCGAAGGTTTTTAAGTTTTTTTTAAGAATTCTGATGGTCTTAATTACGACAGGAACAAACTGACACTGAATCTACAAAAGTCACAAGCAATTATTGTTGGGAATGGTGACCCACAAGAAGTAACATTGGTGTTGAACGAATTTCACATTGCGATAAAGGATGAGATGAAGTACTTAAGAGTGATATTAGACAAGGAATTTAAGTTTAATAGTCACTTACATGGTGTCAAAACGAACGTTAATCAGGCAATCGGTGTTAGAGCCGTTATGAGGAAGAAATTGAAAAAAAAAGAGTAATTAAAATGATCTTTAAGCTTCCACTGCTCACAAGAACTGCTGATCTTTATACGAAGATTGCTCCTAAAATTCTTCTAATATTGGGGATTATTTTCTATGTGATATGTATGATGATCCATAAATCACTTCAAATAATTGATGAATCCTTAATAAGAGTGGAGAAACTTCGATCTGAAAGAACAAATATGCTGAAAATACAAACATCATCATTAACAATTAGGTCAAACGATATTGAATGCATAGGACCTTCGATATATAATTGTCTTCCATCAGAATTAACTTCCATCAACTCGATTCCACTATTCAAGCGTAGATTGAAGCAGTTTCTCCTCAGCAAAAATAGTTCCTTAGTATCAGACGCTCAAATCAGCACCAAAAACAAAATTTTATAATTTTAACTAATTCACAAAAAGTCTAAACATTAAGGCAGATTCACAATTTTTTCTTCCCAATTGACGAGAGATAATTCAAAACAAAATAAATTGGTAAATGTTATTTGGATCAGAAAGCCAGTTTAAAGTCGTGAAAAGGTTATAATGGAGGTGAAATTAAGTCAAAATTCAGTACGTGAGTTAATGAACAGTTCAGCGATCAATGCTGTAAAGTTACTGACGTCCAATCAAGCCATGAAGGAGACATACTTCATCAAAATATCTGACGTGCCGAATCGTCTTAAATTATATGATATAGTCATGAACCTGCAGAAAACCTTTAAGCTGAATTTTATCACTAATATACATAGATGTAACTCGACGAATAATATTCACAGTGTTTTGATTGGATGTAGAAATGCTGCAGAAGTTAGAGCATTCATTTCACATGGTGACGCAATCATGATAAAAGGATATCGTCTAAAGATAGAGGAATCAAAAAGGCCTGTAGAATTAAATCTTGTGAAAGTGCCATGTCTTTTAAAGCTGCATATTCGTATTCAAAGGTGTTTTTATCAGAAAGAATTATCGAAATTCTGTTGGAAATGGAAGCTGATGCATGGATTTTGAGTGGATTGAAAGGGATATGGCTGAAATAAATTCATCATGAGAGGAAGCTCGATGATAAAGTTATAATTTCGGTAGATGAAATTGTAGGATTCAACGCAATTTCGCGTTTCTTGGTGGAATATGGAAATAGTGAGCCTAAAAATAGATCTTCAAGGATTATCATGACATACAAATGTTTATGGCAACGCGAAAATATATATGAAGTAAATGAGGAAGAGGATGCAATTTAAAGTCTGACACCAGATTTGTTGCAAAAGGACATGCTAACGAAGAGAAATAATTTTAACAATATAAGAGGTGTAATGGAATAAGTGAATATCTCAATGTAACTCAGAGAATTGAAAGAAATAGAATAAAGAATTGTTGATTGTATTAATGTATCACTAAAGGAAAGTAGTAGCATTATTCAATAAAAAAAATTATTGGATATTAGAAAAAAAAATCAAATATTCAAATACTTGATTGTTCCGATTTGTATGAAATTTCAAATATTCGATGTTTGGTTTTTCCAAAACCATACAAATTGTTATATTTTTTCAATGAGTGTGAGAATCAATGTTTTTGATATTTATTTTTTAAAACTTTGTTGGAAAGTTAATCTGGTTGAAATAAAAAACTAGCTGATTATAAAATAAATTTAAAATATTCCTTTTCTACAGTCCCTTCATTTTGAAATGCCAATAAATTGAAACTAATTTATATCAAGCTTGTTTTTATAGCTTTTTTAAAAATTTAAACTTAATACAAATTGTCCTTATTAGTTTTTTAATGTAAGGTTGCGTGAAAAAATCAAATTCGAGTCAATTCGAGAAGACATTCTTAAAGCTAAAGCAAAACTTTTCATAATTTTTTAATAATTTATAAAAAACATTTCTTCTGAATTTTAAAATAAAGTTCTCAATTCAAAATACTTATTTTTAAAAACAAAAGTACAACATTTTAGGTTTTTTTTAAATTTTTCAATTTTTCTATACTATACTTTTATTTTTTTTTTTTGACAAATTTCCTTACAAACTTAAGGTATTAATTAGAAATTTCTTTGACATGAATAAAATTATTTTTGCCTTAGTAGCTTTTTGTTTTTGTAAGTTCTTTCTTTTCCATCAGCTAAATTTGGTTTAAAATGATAGAATAATAAACAAATAAAAAAATAATATTTTAAATTCTATAACCTTTTGTTAGGTTTTTAAACATTTTCTTTTAAATTTTTAAAATGATTGCAAAATCTTTTATTTTTTTTTGAAAGTATGAGTATAACGTATTAATGGACAACATGTTTAAGAGACCTTTAACTATTTAGATTGAAATTATGCACTAATTAATTTGATTAAAAATAAAGTATAGAAAAGTAGAAGTAAAGTGCACTAAAGTGTAGTACAGTGTGTTAAATTTAAGCTTAGTGTGGTAAAGTATGCTAAAGTATAGTAAAGTGAAATAAAGTGTAGTAAAGTATAGGTTAGTGTACTTAAGTATAGTAAAGAGTAGTAAAAAAGGATGCTGGGTTATAAGGCCAGATACAAAAATCGTGCACAGAAAATTATAACTCCAGAAAATCAAAGTCAATAAAGGTTTATAAGTCCAGATACAAATTGCACCTGGACTTAAAAATCTCACGTGCAGTTTATAAGTCCAGGTTCAAATACAGCTGGAATTTTGAACTGCACGAGTTCTATGGCCTTGTGAAAATCCCTGAAATCTTTGTTTTATGATCTGGAATTTAAATTGTGTATTACTGCTATCCTTGATATCAGTAGAATCCAACTGGATGTTTTTATCACATATTTATTTGATTGGTTATTGTATTACAGACCTGTTTAATACATTAGAAAATTTTAATTTATTTCATCCTTAGAATGGAGTTATGGAGGCCATCAGTTTAATTTTTCGTAAGTATTTAAGTTCTCATTCCTGACAGCGGTCCACATTTAATCAAGTTTTGTAGATAATTTTAATCTAACTTAATTCATCTTTCAGAGGCATTTTTGAAATTTCACCAAGAGAACATGAAGAGCTAGGAGAACAATTTAGATTTAGGTCTGTTAATTTCATTGTTTTTAAACATATTCTCATTCATGCTATAAATATCCATGAATTAAACAAAAGAAAATACTAACTTTTGTCATTTGAGTGTTTCCTTTATTAAAGCTCTTTCTTTCTTTTTCCATTGTTTCCAACTGAATCTTATTCATGTATGCAGACAAAGTATTCAAATAGGATCGACAGAATTTTCAGCGGAGGATATAAGGAGGATAATCGAAGAAATAGGAAATCAATTTCGAGGCGATAAATATCATTTGATGAACAATAATTGCAATCACTTTTCATCTGCGCTTACACAAATCTTATGTGGCAGAGAGATCCCAAGTTGGGTCAATAGACTTGCTCACTTCTCATCGTGTGTTCCCTTTCTACAGAGATGTCTTCCAAAGTACGTATATCAATCTCTTTTTTTAATGCAGTGGATTCAGTGGCTTTGATTCTTTTGGATGTATAAAAATGAATTGTTTAACGGATTTTCTGAATATAAAATTTTGAACTCCAGAATTGAACTTTGAATTGCTGATGGTGAATTCCAAAACCCACAAAACCGTTAAATGTGAAAAATGCCAGCTGTGTAAATTCGGTTTGTAAGCAGAATGTGCTTTCATCGCGTAAGAAAATAATGTAAACATGAATTTTTTATGTATGTTTTACACGCGCGTCAACAGCGGTTCCGAGAAAATGCATTTTTATTATCCAAAAAAATTTAAACTCCACTGACCACGAAAAAATCATATCAAAAAAAAATAATATCAGTAATATGACTTAACAGGGAATGGCTCACACCGAACGCCTTACAATGTTCAATCACGGCGATAAGAGAGACACATGATTCTGACACAAGTCCCCTTTGATTCATGAAAAGATATTTAAATGCTAATTACTAACACTCAACATGAAACTTTCTATCCTCTTCATCTTAAATTAATTTAAATTAAACTAAAGTATCTATCAATTAACTTTATAAATAAATAATACATAAAAAAATTATAATAATAATAATACAGATAAAAGATTAACATTGATTAATTAAATAATAATAATAAAAATTGTGAGAGAAAAAACTTTTTTTGCTTGTTGATGAAATTAACTAGTAGTTTATAGTTTAACGCACATTTTTGATGTGTTTTAACGACGTAAATGAAATGATAAGATTTAACATTTAAAGAATTTTAATATATATTTAAAGAAATAATAAAAAAAAATGAAAGTTTAATTGACAAAAACAAAAAACATTAAAAAATACGAAAAAAAAAATAAAAATTCAAAGAAAAATAATAAAAGTTAAGTGATCCATTAAAGAGAACATTCTTTAAGGCAGGCATGTAGCTAGGGTTGGTCACGAATTTTTTGCATTGATGATTTCAAAAAATTCTCGAAATCATTAGAGTACGGGGGAAGGGGTTAAAGCATGATCCACCCTAGCTACATCCCCTGGTTCTTGCGTTTTAATTCAGTTAAATTATCTTCATCAAATCAACAAATTTACAAACGCATGATTGTGTTGTCTTATGAATCATATTCCATTCATCTCCATCCAACGAGTTGTGATCACATTCAGAATATATAGAATTTAATTAGTGCGGTCTCTCTACTGTCTCTTAAATTATTTATTTTTTTCTCCTCTTCTTATTATTGTCGGGGGTCAAGTGTTTGATAGAAAGAATATAAATTGTTGTGAAATATTCAGTTCATTTTTATGCTTAAACAAAGTTAATCATTTTTTTTGTGTAAGTAGTTTAGTGTTTGTACAAAAGTAAACGATAGCGGACGGAATTGAATGTTTTTTTGCCGTCTATACGGAATAGTGCTGTGACTCACATGTGGAATTTCATAAAAAATAAATCGAGAGACAATTCCGATATATATCAAGTTATTAGTTGTGCATATAAGATAATGCTGTAATACCTGGCAGCTATGTTTAATTCCAAGGTTTATAGTGATAGTGAAAATCAAAATATAGTGGAATGTAATAGCGATGAGCATATTTACGAGAATGTAACGACTCGATATAATAAGTATGGAATATTGAATGGAATTCTCAGTGGATTTACGTCGAAAGCAAAAGATTTTAATATATTAACGAGAAAACGTGACAAATACACAGAAATAATCAATGAATGTCCATCACCAATGAATGAATTTAACTTTAATTCTTCAACTCAATTTACTCAGTTTGATGACGACACGTCTATATTCGAGAGGAATTTTGAATATCAAATGGATTATGAGAACTCATATACAAGTTGCGAGGATGATAACATTTATGAAAATCTCGAATTTTTTACCGATGAGAACTTCTATAATAGTGCATTAAACAACTGGATGTTAAATCTCACGAAGGAAGTTGAGGAATATGATAGTGAAAATATTATGTTTGTCAAAAGCATTCCGAGCGTGTTTAGTGTAAAGAGAAAATCACTTGATTATCATCGTAAACTCAACAGGAATCAAATAACATTGAATTTTCTCAAAATCCTTTGGAATCGAGAGAATAATGTTGATATAATGAGCTTATTACTGCAAACATTTTCAAACCTACTGAGAGATCAAAATAAACAGTCATCGACTAAATGTAATAGCACAGATTGCTCATCATTTGTGACTAAAATATCGTCGGAAAAGGTTTCGTTGAAAAAGCTTAAAAAATCGAAAAAGAAAATTGATAAAAGAATTATTTATCAACAAAAGTTTGAGAATGTTATCTTATCTTCGTCATTAAATATATTAGTGATAACTTACAATAAGTCTCAAAAGTTTTACTTTTTACTCGCCTATAGTGAAATACTCTTCAAACTGCCAACAGGTGTCAAACTAAACCAAATTATTTGTGCCATAAAAAATAACTATAAATTTAATTTCCGAACAAATTTTGAGGAAGTAGAATTCTTCAAATATTTACGACGATTGTTGAATCACAAACTCAAACAGATACGAATAAAAGCAGAACAATTGAGCAATAATAATAACGACGAGGAGGAGGCAATAGAAAATAATAGCGAAAATATTTATCAGCAAATTTGGACGTGTCAATCAATATCAAATGATGATGATAAGCCAGTTATAATTAATAGTGAAAACATATATTCATCATTGGATTATGCACGCGTCGATGATGATAGTGAGTGGGAGGTAGATCATGAATTTTCATTTATGAATGCTAAAGTTCTTATGACTGATGATAAAATGATGAATCAAAGTTTTTACAAGACTATCTGGGTTTATTATAACGAAGAGAATCCTGACTATAATAGAATATTTTATGACTCGTTGGATACAGATTCAATTCATTCTCTTAAAAAAGAAGACATAAAGCGAAATGATATCATAGAAGAAGAGAGTATATACAGTGATGCTATAAGTTTATCCAATGACGTCGTCGAAGAGGATTTATTGAGTGAAGTTTATCGTAATTTACCAAATGACGTAAAGAGATGTGAAATTACTCAGAGTCTGTCTGAGTCTGTGGACGCATGGAAAGTTTTAATTCGAGCCCCAAACTACTGTGAAGACGAAGAAGACTTTGTAAGAACTGAATGGCATTTAGTGCAGTGTGAAAAAATTGTTCCTAATTGAAAGTAATTAAATTTTACAGTTCGTCAATGAATCGATCCTAAGTTCAAACTTTTCATATTATGTCGATGCTGAAGATGAAAGCAACAAGAGTGTAAGAAACGCTATATTAATTGTTCTGATGAATTTTAATAAATATAATTGGATATAGGTCAATGCTCACAGTTCAAACTTTTCTCTACAATTAGGTATGTTGGTGAATTGTTTTATGGGAAAAGTTCACAAGTGGCGTCATTTGTCAACAACTCCCATTTCAAATTTGATAGTAATTAAAAATTTTTGTAGATGATTCGCTTCCTCAAAGTAAACCTTTAAGACAAGAGAGCTATAGAAGTCTTACTGAAGAATTTGAAGCTATAGAAAAACCCACAAACTCGCCAAAACCAAGCAGAGAAAGAGGATTTCGCGATAAAGTAAAGTCAAAGCTAAAGATTAAGTCTGGTAAAGCAGAAATCAGCAAAACATCCTTAGAGTCCTTATCATCAATCCACGAAGACGAATTTGTTATCTTTGGAGGAAATCTTGAGAAAGTCGAGAAAGACAAGTATCATAAAGATGTGCCAAAGATTATCGTTGATTGTGTAAGCATTTTAGAATTAGACGTAAATATCAAGACTCCAGGCATTTATAGAATATCCGGAAATAAAAACACAATCGATGCAATAAAGAAAAAGTTCAACGAGAAAAAGCAATCAAAAAGGGAATCACGACATGCAATGCTACAAGATCAAGATGTACACACATTAACCGGATTATTAAAAATGTTTTTCCGCGAACTAAAACCTCCGCTGATGACAAAGCAAATATTTACACAGTGTACTTCAGGTCTGTATGATTGAAGCTGATTAAAACGAGAAAACATCTGAAAATTATAATTTTTATTTATAGAGAAACGTTCAGCAAATCAAATGTGGAAAATAATAAGAGAGATTCCGAGTCAAAATTATGCTACATTAAAGTATTTATTTAGGCATTTTAAGATTGTAGAAAAATATCAAGATGAGAATCTAATGAATTCTGGTAAGCATCTTAACAAGTTTTAATTCAAAAATGAACCTAATTTTAAGGCATTTTATTAATTTTTAACAAATTTTGGTGTTGTTTACAATTTTTTACTAAATTTTATCTTATCAATTCTTTTTTCTAGGCAATTTAGCGATATGCTTAGGATTATGCCTATTTTCAAATAGCTTTGGGGAAGTTCCCAATCCTTTCGATAATGATATATCAAAGTGCAATATGCTTTGTAAATTTTTGATTGACAATTATTATGACGTTTTTGAATGTTTTGAAGAGGCGAGATAGGATTAGGTCATACAAATGTGCCATAAAAATATATATGTAAGAGATTCTATATTTCACTTTATGAATAATGAGATTTTACAAACTTCTTTAATTATAATTTATCCATCACTTAATTTCAATTCGAGTCTTAGGCACCTTCACTACAATTTACTTTACAATATTTCTATGAGAAAAACAAATTTTCTCTTCATAATAGAGTTTTCAAAGTCTTTGATCATGCATATTTCTCCTCAATTAACTCAATTTATTGCTTATTTTAAAACTTAATACATTCCTTTTTTTTTGATGCATACATTTATGATGTATTGGTCACATTACAATTATATATACTAGATTAACTAAATTCTGATTGCAAAACATAGGTATTTTTAAAACAAAATGTTATTGTATTTAAGGTGGATTGAGTCTTAGTAGAAATTTGATGAGATTTTGAGCTGAAACTTTGTTTGACTTGAGATTTCTTGATTAAAAGCTATGTTATTTAAGTATTGAAAGACTTCTGAGTAATTTAAAAATTCTCTGTTTAGTAAACAGGAATGCTCATGCAAAGGCACAGCTTCCAAGATAAAGGCACCTTTTTGATAACTTTTGATAATATTTCAAATATTATTATAAACAAAAAATCTAACGCCATTAAAATATTAAGAGGCTTTAATCTTAAACTTAGCCAGCGATAGAGCCAGTTTTAGGCGGCGTCTGAGAGAGGCCATAGTTCGCAATTGATCTGTAAGGTCATCGAAGTAAAGTAAAGTAATCTTAAACCTTGTCTATCTTGGATTTTAAGTTATAATTAAAAAGTCCCCGTATATCTAGACATGGCTCAAAGGGTCAGTTTGTCAGTATACTTAGAGTTTAACTAGAAGTAATCTAATAAGCTTGACCCTCTAAATAGATTTAAGCTTTAGATCACATAAATTACTTTAGTTTAATTAAGTTGATTTTATGTTATAACTTGCTATCATTATATAGACTTTGAATATATTAATGTAATTTTTCACACATCCTATTGTCAATCTCAAATTATAAAAGTTCTTAAGCTCAAAATCTTATCAAATTATTCCAAAAATATACTTCACCTCACAATCATATCTTAATTAAAAGACAGATATTAAAATTAATTTTTTTGTTATGAAATAAACTAATTCTATAGAACACTCTAATTCGTTGTGGTGTTTTATTTCTTTCTTTTTTTTTTATAAAAATAAAATTTTTAAAAATTTGTAAATTTTCTACAAATTGTTTTCAGTCAATTCATTTAAGTAGTACCCAAAAGACTTTTGGACTTTAAATACAAATAAAATTTGGAAAGTAGATTCTAATACTAAAGCGTTAAAAAGGGATTTAAGTAAGCACTTAACGTTTTTAAATATCACAAATTTACATGAATTATGACAAATTTCTTAAACAAATGATGAGAATCCTGGCAACGGTGCTCGACTTCTAGCCATATTATTCATAATAATCTGCCCTCCATTTAAACTCATAACAGTACTTCCTTCAGGCTCCGAGTCTGTGTAGCTTGAATACTGCGTCTTTATATGCTGACGCTTCCATGACTGACGTAATGTATTATTTATATTAGCATAATGATTCACGAATGAGTGAACATCGGAATGTATGCTTTCATTTTCGCTTTCAGAGTGCTGGAAAGAGATTTTTTGGAGATTAAGTAATGTGAATGAATGGGATGTGAATGACGAAGAATTAATAATTAGTTTTTATAGCAGCTTCTCAGAAATTAATCTAGTCAATGTGGTTTATAGAGGAATCATTAAAAAATGACATCTATCGTATAATATGATTTTTTCAACCCTAGATGTGCCTTAAATAGCACAATATAGTTGTCAAAACAGTAACAAGCTGTATTTTTAGGGTTGTTTCCTCTTGTCGAATATGATCTGCCACGATAGAAAGTTCCTGGCCCTAGACTGCTTAATAACTGAAATCCAACCCTAATCCTCGGTTCTTTAACATACCTGTGACTCTGAACTACTAATTTCCGATGGCTTTTCAGTCACACTACTATCCTCTTCTTCAAAGCACTTTAGACTCTCCTCATCACTGTGATATGCCACAGAAGCTGGAGATGGACGAGGTGGACTACGACCTAAAGTCGCTGAATTACTTTGAGATGATTTCTTCGTTATTGCACCTCCTTTACTTCTACCTATTGTACCCATTGTGTTTGTATTAGCTGCCGCATTCGTTAGTCCATGTCGTGATCTGTACAGTTCTAAAGCAAGCTCTTGTCGTTCATCTACCGACATTGCAATTGATTCCTCGAGAGTTTTTTGTGCTTCTTCTGAAAATTCAAAATTTTATTACTTAATAAGTTAATTAAATTCATGAAATCTCTCATGACTTACGTTTGTAGTGTTCGCTCTTACTCTTTACACATAAAACAGCTATAACCATAATAATTACAATTGTTCCTACACATGCGATTGACATGCTGCAAAACAAAAATTAGAAAATGTGTTTAAAATTCTCAGAATTTCCAAAATAAAACTAAAATCTTACCTGAACCATTGTTGACGATAAAAAGGTGTCTGTTGAAGATATCCATATTCTAAGTAAAGCTTCGATGGCGTCAATACTGGTTCATCTGAGTATGTCGGCAATGAGATTCCAAAACGATTATATGAACTTATTCTAAACTTATATACAGTTGATGGCAGAAGGGTTTGAAAACTAACAGTTAATTCTTCTGTATGTCCGTTATTTGACTTCATGACAACAGACCATTTTTTATCGTCGCGTTTCTGAGATTCAATTATGTAGCCTTTGATTGGACCACGTCCAGACGGGCCATTCATAAATCGTAAATTAATGTATGCAATGCTCTTTGAAAGCATAAGATCGGTGGGACTTAACGGACTTCCTTCTTGTGGGCCTGTTGTGATGTTGCCAACAATTGGCAATCCATATTCAATAGTCTGAGCACGTACAGTGAATGTATATGTGACTTCTTCTTCTAAATTCTGAACGAGCAATTGAGTTTCTGTGACTTTTTGCTTCACTTGCTTACTGAATTTCTCATTGTCTTCCGTCGTCTCGTAAGTTACGATATATCCGATAATCTCTCCATTTCTATATTGTGGTGGATTCCAACTTACCACTAAACTATTCATCGTAATGTCGTTAAATGTTAAATTGGTTGGTGCACTTGGCAGTCCTTGAAGTGTTCTTACATTTATTGTATTTGAACGTGGACCATCACCGGCTGGATTAAATGCTAAGATTTGTATTTTATATTCTGTATATTTATCAAGAAAGACTAAACTATGGGAACTATACGATGCAGGAACAACTTCAATTTCCTCCTCATACTTTAGACCTTCTTCTAATGGCTGTGGTGAGTTGATGACTGTATAAAATATTTTATATCCTAATAAATCTCCGTTCTGTTCATTGAGATTTGGTGCTTTCCATTTTAATCGAACTTCTGTACTTGATACAGCAACTGCTTCGAAATTTAATGGCTCACCAGTTGGAACTGCTTCTCCAACATAAACGGTTAATGGTGGACTACCGGGACCTAATCCTTGCTTATTGTATGGATAGATCACAATTTCATAATTCACATCTTGCGTCAAATCTTTTAAGACTGTGACATTTTTGTCGATTCCACTCACGTCTAACTTTGGAATGTCATTTAATACTTTTGATCCAATAAAATCAATTGGCTGATATACAATCTTATATCCGCCATCAGAATCTCCATTCCACATTGAACGATCTAATGCAATCCATTCTACTCGAACACTATTAGTAGTAATTGGAGTCAATACAACTCCAGTGGCACCAACAGCAGGTGCGGCAGGTAAAGTTCTTACATCTATACTTTCTTTACTGTATGGTGATGGTCCAATGTCATTTATAGCTCTAATTCTAAATTGATAAAGTGTGTAAGGTTTTAAGTTTGTGATCGTGTATGAGTTACTGAATGGATCGATTCTTTCATTAAGTGTAGACCAGATTGCTTCATTTTCTTTGTATTGAACTGTATAGTAACGGAGTGGAGCAAATCCATCTCTGCCTGGGGTCCAGCTGAATGTAACTGAAAGAAAGATTCAGGATTAGTAATGCTTCTCATCTAACTTAGGGCTATAATGCAGTTCTTCGCAAATTCTTTACCATGGAACAAACATTTTGGTACACAGCATAGTTTTAAAAGAACTGCTATAAGCTGAATTAGACATTGAATCAAAGATACTTACTCTGATTAGCCTGAATTTGACTCCTAGAAATTTGCGGCATCGACGGTGCTTGGGGAAGTTCTCGATTATTTGTCGTAAAAACTAAGGCACTTGCAGTAACACCCCAACCAACTCTCGTCTGTGAAGTCACAGTGAAAGTGTAATAATGCTCGCTCAACAAATTCGTTGCTCTAAATGTTCTGTCTAATGGTGAGAATTCTCGACTGAATTCAAGCTTGTTTGACTCATTCATCATGTATGTGACCTTATATGCCAATATTTCACCATTACTTTCTTCTGGTGTGTCCCAGATGATTCTAGCTGTTGTATAAGTGACGTCTGGGAATGAGACATTTGATGGCTTTCCGGGAGTATCTTCATAAGTTTGAGCTCGAACAGGTGGATAACTTAAAGTTCCGTCACCAAGTCGCGTGTATGCTAATATTTGAATGTGATACTCGACAAACTGAAATGCAAAAAGATGTTAAATGTGTTAACAAGAAAGAATGTCAAGAAAGTATAAATGTATGCGTGTTGTAAGGCACACAATGAGTCAGTCACATATTCTGAGAATTTATTTACCTTTTTCAGTTCCGTAAGCGTTGCAGTAAATGTTTTATTATTCGGTATAGTTTTCTGCATTACTGGTATTGTGGAATAACCTGGTGCCCCGTAGAAAACTTTATAGCCCTCAATTTGTCCATTCTGTGCATTCTTTGGAATTTCACTCCATTGTACAACAATTGTTGTTGAAGATGTCGCATTTGCTTGTACATTTAACGGACCGGACGATGGAACAGATTCTCTTGTCTTTTCCAGCGCTATATTACTTTCTGATGACTGTCCGACTTCATTAACTGCTGCAACTACAATTTCGTACAGCGAAAATTCCTCTAAATTCTTAAGAATGTAGGAATTGGATGTTGGGTCGTCAATCAACACGCTTGTTGGCTGTGCTTCCATGTCTTTTTCAATTAACTGATATGTCACATTGTAACCTTTTGGATTCCCAAACCATTCTGTTACTTGCAATGGAATCCATCGGACTCTTAATTCTGTAGCACTCATAGCACGAACTGTCACATTATATGGAGCATGTTTTGGTATAGCCTGGATCGTTTGGAAATCTTTTGTCGGCTCACTTGGCTTACTTCGTCCAGCGACATTAACAGAAATTACTCTCAATTTATATTGCGTGTACGGGAATAAGCCTTTGACAGTTATTGTTGTAGCATCCGGATCAGAAATTTCATCAATTTGTGTCCATAGATCATTCCTAGCTGTTTGTGCTTCAACAATCCAATTGATGATTGATGAATTGCCATCAAATCCAGGATTGAACTGTATGACTACAGAAAATGCTTCAATATTTGATAAAGCAAGTGCTTTTGGTGGTTCAGGATTAACCGGTTCAATTCCAGATTGAATAATAGCAGTTCTAGGCACTCCATTGCCTTTTGATGTCCATGCTCTAACTTCAAACCAGTAATGAGTCATAGCCTTAAGTTGAGACACATGTAATCTCTTCTCATGTGCTGTTAAATTCACTTGCTTTATGTCTATTGAATCTTTGATCTTATATCTAACTTGATAGCCTTTAATGATTCCATTTTGTTCCTTTGGTTCACTCCATTTGAGAGTTAATTCTCTGTCTGATACTCCATCAAATTGCATATTTGAGACTTCACCAGGAACGTCTTCTTCTGTTCTTAATAAAATTGGATTACTTCTAACGCCATCGCCAGGATTTGTAAAGCATAAAACTGTAATGTTGTAGTATGTGTAAGGCACCAGACCAGCCACAGTACAATTTTGCTCTTCCAATGGATTTATTAAATTTGGAGCTACTTTAATTGTTTTAACTGCTACTTCCTTCATAACATCATCAATCATTTCATTTTGCCATGCCTGAATCTTATATCCTTGATTTATTCCATTAATATGCTGTGGACTTGGCGGCTTCCATTTCACAAAAATTGCAGTAGAATTAATAACTTCAATTCCAACATTTGATGGTGGATCTTCAGGCACAGACTCTTTTGTTTTAACGCGTATACCTTCCGAGTATATACCAACTCCCATATTATTATAAGCAGCTATTTGTATTATGTAATCTTTCCATGTAATGAGATCTTGAATAAGATAACTTCTTTGTGCTTCGTTGGATACATTTTGGTATGTCCATGGACTATCTCTATAGCCATTCAATTTGTATCTTAATATATATCCCAAAATCAAACCATTTCGATGTTCTTCAGGCACAGGCTGCCATTGTGTGATAATTTCTGATGAAGATCTTGCCGATCCGACAATTGAGCTTGGAGGCGATGAAGGAACTTCTTGTGGCAATAAGAGTGTATTGCTAGGCTCAGATGGATAGCCTTCACCAACTCTATTGATAGCACTGACTCGGAATTGATAGTTTGTGGCAGCTTTAAGGTTGAGAATTAGAGCAGATGAGTGACTTGCTGATACGTTGCTTAGTTCTGTTATCCAGTTTTGAAGATTATCAGGAAGTGGACCGGTATTTTCTGTTATTAAATAAAGATTATTATTATTATTGATATTGAGAAGCATTAAGCCGCTAATTTACATACCTAATTCCAACACTTCTCTACGCTGAATTATATATTTAAGTATTGGACTATTTCCATCAAATCCTGGTGTCCATGAGATATTTACAGTCCGTAAATCAGGTTCACTAATACGTACAGCCCTAACATTCGTGGGCGCAAAAGGCAATTCAACGATATTAAGCTTCGCTGATCTCGACTCATTGCCAGCTGCTGATTCAACGAGACATGTGTATAATCCCACGTCGGATGCTCTCACTGCTGTAATTTCAAGCGTGCCATCTTCTTTCATCGAAAATCTTGAATTACTCGTGACTGGCATAGACTGACGATCTCGGAACCAATTTATTGTATAATTAACATTTTTGTCGCTCGAGACTTTGCATTGAAGAGTGGCAGTAAGTCCTAACAAGACTGTCGTATCTACAGGCGGTTGAGTAATCTGAGTACGCACTGTGAACGATTTTAATTTTCATCAATTAAGTATGCAAATTATGTCCAATAAAGATTGTATTGAGAGGGGGATAACAGCGTGATGAGCGATTTGTTACAAAAAATGTGGTTTTGAAATTGGAGGGAAATTTCTGATCTTGTTCAGATTCTCTCATTTTGTTACCCTTTCCGGCTCAACAAAGTTTTGTTGAAAAAAATAATAAGTTTCCCATCATGTTGTTACCCCCTTTAATTTATGTCCAATTTACCTAATACGCCAAGGAATGCTTCGCCAGATACACTGCCTGCCTCATTTGATCGTGTACATTTATAAGAACCTGTATCACTTTCCTGCACATTAGAGATGAATAAATTCCCATTTTCAAGTATTTGTAGACGATTAGTTGATTGGATGATGATTGTATCTGTGGAATCGGAAATAACTCGGTCATGAATCATCTGTGAATTTCGAAAAAAATATCCAAATTTTTTTACCATTATAGATCCACTGAATGTCAGGTGATGGAGCACCGACTGCCTTACATTGAAATGTTACATCTTTTCCATCGAGCGTCGTAATATTTTGCGGATAAATTTCCATAATCGGTGACGATGCTAATAAAAGAGAAAAATTTTAATTTCCTCATCATAATCACTTAAAATAGTATTTTGGTTGTCTAAGCAGCTATAAGATTATGAAATGGAAAATAAAGCAAAATTCAATAGTACAGCAATAACTCATGAAGATAATCGATTTGTTTCTAAGAAAAGTGCGATAAGTGGAAATGAATAAATTCGTGACTATATAAAACCATAGCTAGAGTGCATCTATAAAATTTCAGTACACGTGTTTGAGAAGCCTTTTAATGAAATTTTTTTGTCACATCTCCTAGCAGCACAAAAACAAATATGGTAATGGAGTAGGTGTCTATAACATATTCTAGAGCAGTGGTGCTTAAACTATGATCCGCGACACACTCCCATCTAGTCTAAACTTTCAGGTGTGTCGCGAAAATATGATTTAGCAGTTTCCTGTATCGTGGTTCAAAGATTGAGAACCACTGCTCTAGAGGGTATTTATGGATTGCATTTTAGCATATAAATTAACGATAGCAAGGTGAGGATTAATTACAACATCTAGAATATTTACTTTTTCTACTATACACTTTGTTTATGTTCGCTTTAATTGATATTAAACACACTTTCAATTGCGAAAGGGTCCATAAAAGAAATTGAAAATATTTTAATGGGTGTTAACGAATGGATACAATTAATTACATTTGATCGGGGTTTTGACTTTTTGGTTCAAATGATTCGCATTTTTCTGGCAATTTGTGCTAGAAACTTTAATTTTTGAAGCTAGTAATTCGAAAATTTTGAATTTGATTAAAGCATTTTGAGCCTGTGACCTTACAAAGTGTTTCATCTTTAAAGAAATGTTTCAAATCCATATGAATGCCTTTATTAGCTGTTTAACGAGTTCCTAATAGTGCTTGGAGTTATTCATAATCCAAGAATTGATCATAAGGTTCAAGTAAATGAAGCAAACTTATTACTTATAAATCATATGCACGATTCTGCTACCATTTTAGCAGAAGCTTGCTCAAAGCTCATCCAGCTCAACTGAATATTCCTTCCTTTGCTTGATAAACTCTAAACGTATTACTTTCTTGCTATTAAATAATTTAAAAATCTATTCAAGTCTAAAATGTAAAGTGCCTATATTCACAAAAATAAAACTAGTGCCGTCAAAACGATAAGTGAATTAATAAAAATCTTTAGAAAAATAAATCCCAAATTATTATCTAGCTATAAGCACAAACAAACACCCAAATCACCTTCCATAAAAAATCTACCACATCATTTTGTGCTGCTCACTCTTAAAAAGATATCCGTGACTTATTTTTTCTTACAATTCTTTATATCATCAATGAATCCATTTAAATTTGCTGAATCCGAACCGATTATCCGAGGCTGTGCAAGACGCTTAAATCTTCTTGCCCCAGCATTAATTGAATTAATAATGAAACTTTCATCAATCGCTAGAGATAACATTGAAAATCAGAAATTGTATACCAAATTTATGTTATTTCATACTGAGTCTGAGATGTATACATACTTTTTACTTTAATCCAAACATATGATGATTTCTCGCCAGCATCATTTACTGCTAAACATTGCCACATTGCTGAATCAATTAAGTTTACTTTTTGGATTACCAACGTGTTATCATCCTTCATGTGATATTCATTTGAGTTGTAAACATCGATGTCTTCAGAGTTTCGGAACCATTTAACGACCGGTGTTGGAATGCCGCTGACATCACATGGAATTTCTAATTGTGATCCATAATCTGTGACGATGTCTGTTTGCATTTGAGCATTAAAATTCGGTGGTTCAATAACATTAAGCATAGCTTTTGAGATTTGACTTTTATAATCTCCAGTCTTCATTTGAACTTTACATGAATATTCTCCAGCATAATCAATGTCCACTGAACGTAGAATAAGTGTTCGATTTCTCCATCCTAAGTCAAAAATGATATTTGCATTCTCAATTGGAATTTTATCTTTAAACCATAAAGTATCCATTAAATAAAGTGGCCTTGCATTCGCCACACACTCAAAGACTGATTCTTTGCCTTTAATTGCGGTTTTATCTTCTAATGGAATAATGATTTCAGGTTCAACATCGACATTCGGATCACCCGATATACTTAAATATGTAATTGGACTTAATTCATTTGTACCAAGTTGTGCATTAATTGCAAGAGCTCGAAATCCTTTTCCATTATCGGAATCGTCGACTGAGAAGACGACTAATTGATTTTTACTCGTTTTATAATATTTAACATCATTACTGGTGCTTCCATCAAGCAATTCCCAACTGACAGTTGGCTTTGGAACCGACTCAATTTCCTCTAAATCTAAAATAACTGCGTGGCCCGACTCAACATTTATTGTGCGATGTTGGTTACTTTTAAATTTTCCCATATCTGTGAGTTACAAAATTTTCATATAGTTAAGGGTATAATACATAATGAAAGATGTTTATCTTGTCTTACATGCTATGACGACTTCACTCTTCTCACTAAAGATCGTTCCCGCATCATTTCGAGCCAGACATTGATAAAATCCAGAATCGTCTTTCTTTGCATTTGATATCTTATAAATCTCTTCATCTCTAAATTCTGTTAATGCTTTTCCATTTTTAAGCCATTGATATTGTGGCTTTGGACGACCTGATTATGTTAATTAAAATTTAAATTTATTAAAATCTTGGCTTTTATCATTATTTTAAATTTTATTTTAGTCCATACCACTCGCTTTACAATGCAAAATTTTTGTTCCCTTCAAATGGGCTATTGTGCTCGATGTTGACGGCTGAATGTCAAAAACTGGTGGCCGTATTAAAGAATTATCTGGATTTGGAATTTGAATGAATATAAATTAATTATGCATGTGAACATGTGAAAGATAAGAAGTTTGTTTCTTTTTTGTATGAATAATGTGGAAAAGTTCATTGTGCATGTGTTTAACACATTCTACATTTTAAATACACATTTGTGTATGGAAATAAGTCGTTATGGATGATTAGAACTTCGTTTACTGACTTGTTAAAACAAAAGGGTTTGATTGTTACTTTATTTAGTGTAACTTTGTGTTGTTTCAGTTGATTTTAGAACAATCTATGTCAGCTAGAAATTATTTTTAATGTTTAATGGAATTTACGGTTGTTTAAGTTAAAAACTTGGCTTTGTCAATTGATTAAGAAATCATTTGAAACCTTTAGGGGCCTTTCACTTATTACGTTACGCAAAAAAACGACTTTTTTCATCCCCCTCCACCCATTGTTACAATATGTTACAACTCTCACCCCCCCCCCCCCCCCTGAACGTTCATAATTTTATTTTATTTCTTTTAAATCTAAAAAGACGGTTAAATATCTTTTGTATTTTTTTTTTCTTAAATAAATCTTCTAAATGTACAGCTAAATCGGTAATGCTTTGATTGATACTATTAGTATTCTCATGAATTATTGGATTAAGATATAAAGCAAAAATTTGTTTTTTTTTTTTGAAGAAAATTCAAAAATGTCATGAAAAATATTATGCCCGATCGAATTTTGGAAAATTCAATCAACTTTGAATGTAAATATCACAATGATGGGACCATATTAATCATAATATGAATGACAGATTTAGAGAGATTTACTTTTAAACTTATGATTGATTTAATTTTGAAAATTTTCACAAATTATGATTGTATTTTAAAGTCTTGTAAACCAGTTTTCTATTGATTTGTTACTTTATATAACAAAAACTATGTATTGATTAGCTATCAAAAGTGATCTGGACATTCATAAATCATTAAAAAGTTGGAAAATTTAAAAAAATGTTTTTGGTGTGAATTTGTAAACAAATTTTTTTCGTGAATTTTTTTTTAAAGACAGACGACAGTTAGAACGTTACATACTTCTTGACACCCCCCCCCCCCTATGTTACATTTTATTACAATTTTTCAACTCCCCCCTCCCCTCCCCCCTAAAATGCGAACGTAATAAGTGAACGGCCTCTTAGATTTCATTTTAATTTAAAAAACTGTCAAAATGATTTGAAAAATCTTTAATTCGAGTTTTTGAAATTGGAAGTAAACGGTTTTTATTTTCAGAATTTGTAAGGTTAAGAACTTCAAAGTTTTAGATTTCGTGACACTTTGAACAAAAGTTTTAACCTTCTTTTGTTCAATTCAAAGCAATTATCACAAAAAACTTACAAAAGAAATTATGAAATCAATGAAATCAGAAAAGTTAAAAGAAGTCAAAAGAGTAAGGAAGAAGATGTAAGAAGAATCCAGAGAGATTAAATAATTAAAGCATTCATTAGATTTATTAAAGATTATACAAGTTGACAGAAGAAAAGTCATAAGAAATTTTTAATAAAGAGAAAATGAAAGAGATCAAAAGGTAAATCCAATTAAAAAATAATACAAGAACAAGAAACTTGTTTTTCTTTTGTTTCAACACGTATTTCGGTCTCAAGGAATCGTCCATAAAAATCAAATAACACTAAAATTCAATTTTATTGAATTAAAAATGTTTAAAATTTCATAAGTCATAAAAAGAGTGTATTGCCAATTATTTCGAAATATAATCAATGGTTTGTTTAGAATCTTTCCTGAATATCTATCTAAAATCCATTAATTTTAACAGTCAAAATGATCGAGAAGATCATTTCATCACCCACGAAAATAAACGAAAGAATAAAATTTTATATCTTGTCGATTGATGAATTTATGCAGCAGTTCATTTGACTCTAAATATCCATTTGCATTATCGGGCTTCCGTCTTGATCTATATATAAATCTTTCACATCTGTTTAGTTGAAATTTTTTTATGTGAGAGAGTACAACTTTTACAAGAACCAAGAATGCAATGCAATAGAATAGAATATATGTAGCATGTAGCATGAAAGGGAAGCAATATATTTTTAAAACATGTTTTACGTTTTCTCACCTATACAAATGCAACGCCTTTTAAAACTAAATGGTACGTATATTTTTACATGCTGCATTGATATTCACACTAACTCCAAAAAGGAGAATTAATGTGAGTAACAAATTTTATTATACGTTAGAGACTCAAATTTATTTACGTCTGGGCATGAGAAAATTTTGTTTACTAATAGCAACGACAGAATAATTGTTTTGGCTTCTTTTCTTGTAATTTACTATTTCTTTCATTTATTTTTTTGGGGGGAAGTTTATAAAAATAAAAGAATAGCTATAAATCAATAATTTAAACAATCTACATACGGCATTGTAAGTTTTAATTTAATTATCAAGCTATAAAAAAAATGTTAGCACATACCTAGAGCATTCACACTAATTAGTAATCCAAAAAGAAAGACGATGCAGATTTCTCGTAGTGACTTCATTCTGTCTATCGAATTATATATTTTCCGATGTGCATTACTAAACTTTGAACTATTTTGATACACTTTCATCTTTATAATACTTTATTGTGTTATTCAATAGTGATTATTATAGCATTTTTAATCAATTCGATATTGAATAAACATTTTCATCTGATCCGATAGACACAAAACCCGAAAAATTATTAAGTAAGTAATTTCCTTATTTTTATTTATGTTTCATTATTCTTTCTGTTTCTCAAGACTTAACACTAATATTGTTGTAGATTACCACGACACACATGCACTCAATTAACGTTCGAAACAAATACACCTGAACATTTTTGGTGAAGAATTTCTGTTTAAATTCTTAAATTTTCAACTTTTCCATTCAAATTTTTAACTTTAAGATATTCCACTTATCATGTCTGATGCTTCTCTAGCGATTATTATTAACTTTATGGTTAAAATAACTAAAATAATAATTTTTTCATTCACGAACTATAAAACGAGCGATCTTAATAGTTTGAGAAGCAGAAGTAAACTGAAGTTGGAATGGAAGTTGAAACACGATCTACCTTAATGTTTGTTTCATATTCTCTTCTTCCATGTTTTGCAAGCTTTTGAACTTCTCTTGACCAATTCTTTCTCTCTTCTCTGTCTCTCTTGGAAACTAAACTTATTCCATGATATGATCCATATGTAAACATATGAGAAGTTTTGTTTTTGTTATATATATTTTTTGGAGTGTCTCATGTTGCGAACTTTATATTCGCACTGCTGACTTTTTAATTTTTTTGCGCATTCCAAAAAAATATATTAAATTTATAAACCGTGGATTGAGATGAATCAATTTTAATCAAATTGATGTTCTTAGACCAGTGTTGTCCAAACTGTGTGCCGTAGAAATTTCTAAGGTGTGCCGTGGCTCAAAAAGTTTGGACAACACTTCCCTAGACAAATATGAGAAATTATTGGTAAGGGTTTTTTTTACCTGTGCGCTCTTTTTTGACCTTAAAGACAACCTGTTACCCCTTGGTTCTAGGGCCAAACTGAGGATTTGGGGTTGTTACGGGAGGATCAGATTTCGATATTTTGTGATGTGCAGCAGACCAAAAAAGTTTGAGAACCCCTGATTATTAACTTTTAAGGGGCCGTTTATTAATGATGTTCAAAGGGGGGGGGGGGGGGGGGGGGGGGGGGGGGGGTCAGCAAGAAAAAAAAACAGAAATTCCTTGAATTCCATTGTTTTTTTATTGAAAAATGACCGTTAATATCGGATGTCATAACTATTAACTCTGAATAGAAAAGAATTGAAGATAAAAAAAAGAAAGAATAAGAAGAATAAAGGGATTTCCTTAATGTCTTTCTATATCATTTGATATTCTTCTTTTTATTGATTGCTTAAGTGAAAAAGAAAATTGTTGCAATAAATAATGTGAGATTTATTAAATTAGAAATTACAGTTTTTTGATCTTTTTTTAACAAAAAAAAAGAAAGGAAAGAGTTTATTAAGAAGCATACATTCTTTTAATTTCTTCCTTATATCGTTCTTGAATGACTTTACGTTTTATTTTAAATGCAGCAGTCACATATCCACCCTCGGTTGTCCAAGTCTCCTTGCAGAGTGTAATAACTGCCGGTATTTCAAACTTTTCCAGTTTGCATTTCTTTGCGTGCTCAGTGAGCTCTTTGCCGACTGTCTTTTCAATAATTGGCGACGAGCATAGCTTCTCAAAGCTTAAATTGTGAATATTTAAATTCTCAGCCATTTCCATTAGCATTTTTTCATTGGGTACAACTAAAGCGACACAATAATGTTTTGATGGATCACAATAAACACAAATATTTTCTACGATTGGACAAGTCTTCATTTCAGCCTCGACTCTTCCTAATGAAACGTATTCGCCGGCTTGGAGCTTTACTAAATCTTTTTTGCGGTCTAAAATAGTTGAAAAAATAAAGGGTTAATGTTAATTGAAGAACTTAATGAATTAGCAAGAGGGTAACAACTTGTAGGGGAAGTTTTGATAAAGTGGTAAAAAATTTCAATGTGTAGTCCAAAAGAAGACATCTTATAAGGAATCAGAATTAATTGTCGGAAGGAAGAAAAAAACATGACGAGGAATTTTCCATGAATTATTTGATTAAATGGTAGAAAATGTTTCCCATCATATTGTTCTCCCCTTGGCAATTCCATAAAAATATTTTAATACCATCATGTTGTTTCCCCCTCAAGTTTTACACGATTCCACATCAGAATTTTTTGGACATGGATGTAAAAATTTCAACAAAATATTATCCCCTTCATGTTGTTACCACCCTCAAAAATCAACATACCAATTATTTTTAATACTCCATCAGCATGCATCTCTCCAACATCACCAGTCTTAAACCAGCGTCTGCCATTCTCTTCAAAGAAATTTTCCTTTGTCAACTCATTATTCTTATAATATCCAGCGGCAACGCTTTCCGAGCCTATAACAATTTCACCTTGAGGGAAAGGTTTATTGGTAACTCGATAATTTCCCTCTTCCCAATTAACTAAACGTAAATCAACCATTGATGATGGTGCACCAACACGAGCATATGACATATCATAACGTTCCATAACACATGATGCAGCTGTCGTCTCAGTCAATCCGTATCCTTGACAAACCTCAACACACAAGCATAAACGAATTTGTTCATGAGTCTCGGCAGATAATGGAGCGCCTATAAATTGAATAATTTTATTTTATCATCATTTAAAGTCGTGAATGAGATGATAAATGTGTAAATTTGTGTATGTACACAGGGACTTTGATCTTACCTCCAGATATAATAAGTCGTATTTTTCCACCCAACAATCTACTAATCTTTCTGAATACGATATGATCGGCGATTGGAGAATCGTAGCCACGTCTATCCCATTTACACTTATAATCATAGCAATACCTAAATATAGCTTTTTGCAGTGGAGATCCCTTATTAACCTTATCAGTTATTCCCTTACAAATCCTATCTAAAATTAATGGAACTGCAGTAATACATGTGGGCCGCAAAATTGATGCGTCTCCTTTTGTTCCTTTCATAATCTTAGTGCTACTATCGATGAGAGTATTTGGTGATGAATATCCAATTGGAACGCCTGTAAGAAGACCAACGCTTTCAGCTAGCAATTCAAAAACGTGTGCCAATGGCAAAAATCCTAACAGGACGTCGTCAGTGAAAATGTCAACAACATCGCAGAAGCATTTCAATGTGGATATACAGTTGTTGTGTGTAATCAATACGCCCTGCAATGAAGGTAATTAAAAGCATTTAATTAGTGCTTATAGATTGGAGGTAATATATGGGGTTGTTCATAAATGACGCCAGTGAGTTTAAAAACTTCTGGTCAGCTAGAATATTTAAAAGTGGAGTCTAGAGTCTCCCTTGAATACACGCCTTTTAATAAATCAAAACGTATGTCCATGGACGTCATAAATGAACAATTACTAATTAAGATCTCACCTTCGGAATTCCAGTACTTCCTGATGTGTACATGATTATAGCTACATCATTTTTAGTTGGTGGTATTGGAGCTGCAAATTATGTTGTTATTGGATTTTTAATGAGCATGTTAAATTAAATTTAATCAGTAATCTGACGACCAATTTGCTTTCCTGACTGATAAAGCTCTAGTTTACATCAATTAAAGCTGATTTTAATCTCTAGTCAGTAGTTCTCAAACTTTTTCACATTGTTGATCCTCAGTCCAACATTTCAAGACAAAAGAGCTCTTGGTTTTGACAAAGCATCTACTATTAACAAAGCAGTGCTCCGTTGACCATAGTTTGAGAACCACTGACTTGAAATTCTTTAATTAAGAAGAAATTGAAGCTTTCCAGTCTTGATAGAAATTGAAATTAAGAACTTACCGACTGGATTTTTAATTCCATATTCGATGACATCACTGTATGAGAAAGTGCGGATGCGTTCAAATCCTTTCAAATCTGTTTTCACAAGTTGATCCTCGAAGTAGATTATGGTTGAGACTTTTGGTAATTTATCCAAAATACATTTTAATTTTGGCATCAGTTCATGAGATGTAATAACTGTGGAGACTTCTGTTTCATTAACGCCATGTATAATACCTTCATCACCGAGTGTTGCATAAATCGTAACGATGGAGCAACTATGCTTGACTATAAAAAATTAAAATTAATAATAATAATAATTTGCAAAAAAAAATATTATCTTACATAAGCCATGTGCGGCAATCATCCATTCAGCTCTCGTTTCCGAAAAAATCACAACATTATCTTTTGGTTGGACACCCAATTTACGAATTCCATATCCAAAATTGCATGCTTCCTTTTCGACATCAACATAGCTCCTCCATGTATATTCACCCATCTTATATTTCTTAAACAATCGTCCATTCGGCTGCAATTCATCCTCTTCACTGAGTACTTGACGTGTACCTAAGCAATTCTTGTCCTTGTGTGTGTCAGAAATGTACTTTAATACCTTTTCTAATGTGTCAATATCAGCTTGAACCATCTTCAAATGCATTTCTCTTGGCGGATCGGCTGTACGATATGTTATTTGAGTACTATCGGAACTTATTGGTTTTGCCTGTGTGAAACAGAAAGCAAATAAAATGAAGAACAAAGCAAATAATGGGAAATTGAATTTTTCGAGTGTCATGTCCAATGGAAATCTATGTCATATTGAGATATTGTCGAATTTTTTAAGGATTCGAACTCATGTTCTCATAAATTAAGGTTGCGGATACTTAAATAAACCACAAATGTCCTAATCTTTCAATGGCAGATTTCATCAGATATAGCTCGATACCCACTCTACTGAGATACCTCTAAGGATGCAGAACTGATAAATTATTATTTTTGCTGATCAGCTCTACATCTTTGGACACCCCACAAACTTAATAAATGACTTACCTTAACTCTTTGTGACCTGTTTCGTCGTGCCCACGGTCGCTGGATCAAAAAGTAGACGGGAAATGTGATGATATCGTAAAAGACACCAGCATAAGAAAGTGCCTTAATAATACACTGAATCCAAAAGTTATTCATACTGTGCGGCATGAATGAAAAAGCGAAAATGAGTTAAGAAAAAAATATATTCACGTGAACGAGAGACTCAAGCTTATAAAACTCACTTATTATCTTTTTCAATGAACATTTTGAATACTATTAATGTTGTCGCTTGATTAAAGTAGTAGAAGCTGTAACAGTAAATAAAAATAGAATTATTCAACATTTTAGGATAAATCTTCTAGAAGGGCCTTGAATGTAAATTTTTTTCACACTATTCGAATTTTTCTCTTGTTATTGATTAAGCTACATAATATTGATAATCAGGCCACTGTCATCCCTTCCAGACATACATTAAGTCATGACAAAAAAATTACCTTTTTTGCGTATAAGTCGTTAAAAATTTACTTCCTACACATGAATTATAGTGACTAGATCAATTAAATAGCTATGTCTAGAAGTAGATTACGATACGGCTGTCACTTATGGGTAGATTATTGAATAATTATCATCAAAAATTCTCGTATTTTAACTTATTTTATCTTAAATTAAAATATAATAGAAATTCCTTGCTTAACACTGAACTTTGTATTTTCTACTATGACGTCATATATCAGGCCACTGTACCAGCCAATCACAAATCGCGTCTTGAGCGCATCATTTAAAGAGTCTGTCTCATAAAATAATAATAATACAATTTTGACCCTGACCTACAGACTTAGTTTATAGCGCTTAAGGTGTCTGTTGATAACGAAAACAAATAAAATGTTAAGCAACTAAGTCAGCAATTTTGTGACGATATTGTGGATTTACATTATTTTTAAATGCTGTACTTGAAGCAACGCTTTAACATCATACGATATATCTTAATTGAGGGGGTTATTAGATATATGGATATTATCATTGGGGTATTGACAAGCATGATTTTAGGTATCGACTGGATTAATTTTTGAATTTACAAATTCAACTTTATCAATTGATAATTTTTTTATCAATCCGCAAGATAAAACTTAGTGATGTCTTTGGAGATTCTCTTGTAACTTCCACACCTTTAACGGTTTATGAATTATTTGAATATAGTTGCCATTCCCATGAGCTAAAGAAATTCAAATTTTAGCATAACTGACTTTCATATCAGAATGGATTAAAAATTAATCAATGAGCTTGTATCGTGTGTTGCTTTCGTGCGTCGCAATTACTGATAAATGCTATGAGATATTGATTACCTGTCAATTACATTAATTATTGCATTACACGTAGATATAATTGACATCACACCATTAAGTCATTCATACTGAGACAGATTTTACCAGGCTTGGAAACAAGGTTGGACTGGCGGTTATTTTATATAAATTGGAGGCATTTGGATGCATCGTTTTGTGTATTGCATAAAACCCCCTCCCTCTCGTTTGGTATCTTATCCTAGAAATCTTGTGTGATATTTAAATAAATTACAGTAATTGATTGAATAACGATGACAGTTCAGAATCTATAGATTGAATAACAAATTTCTAGTATCTCGTCTGTAAAAATTATTTTGTTCCTCCGATTATATCAGATTGAAAGATTTATCATGTAGGAACAATTTATGTAAATTGACGACAATGACGATGTTGAGCAGCAATTTTTTGATAGCCTAAAGCAGACAGCTTTACACAAGGAGATGGTAAGCCATTAGAGATACAAAAGCAATTTGAGATATAAAATTAGTTCAATTTCCCAAAAGTGGTTGCTGTACAGATATTTAGGTCAGGATCATGTTATCAGGTGCAATGCATAGTAAAATCATCTGTATCAGGTTTGTAATTGTAGATGAGCAACAGGAGAGAAAAAAAATTATCCGAATTTCCCCGCCAAGCATTTTCGAACTTTCCCCAGTCATAAAATTATTTTTCTTTTTTGATATCATCGCTTGGAAAATTGTTGCATTTTTAGTCTGAATATGATTTTGGGGGACTAAACAAGTGGATGTGAAAAAAAATGGGAAAAAAGTTTCAATTTGCACCAAAAAGTTTTTAGAGAAATTTTTAATATTAGTGAAAAATTGTAGATTTATAAAATTGTAGTGTTGAAAAAATTGAAAGTGAAAAAAATAAAATTTTAAGGGTTGAAATTTTTTTACAAGTGACTAGCTTCAAAATTATCACACAAAAAAAGTAGAAAAAAAGTTGAAATGAATTTTTAACGAGTTCACGCAACGAGGATAATGCACGATTTTTAAGAAATTGAAGCTACATAGCTTGCATAAGGTTGTTGCCACTGAAAACTTGAAAACAATTCCTCAAAGCTCTTTTTTTACTCACTCTCACTTTAGTCGCAGTCAGTCAGTGAAAAGAAAAAATATATATATAATTTTTGGCAATGACTAGATGGTGATGTCGTGAGCTTTTGTGTGTGAAAAAAAAAATATAAAATAAGAAAAAAAATAAAGCTTTATTCGAATAATCTCTGTGGAATTATCAATATATTATTTTAATTATATCTACCTATACACGCATAAAAAAAAGCATATCTATACACAAATAAAAGAGGGAAAAAAATCTTATGTTCAGCTACAGTCTATTGATTATCGATATCATGTATATTGAAAGAAGATAAAATGGATATGAATGAATCCCATTCAGACGTTAAACAAAATTGATTAATACTCTTTTATTCTCCGTCAATTTGATCATCTATGCTCTCCTCTTTTTATGTGTCAAACAAGATGTTTGCAAAATTTAAGAGCGCAAACCAAACAAACATCAGCCCAATTGATAACAATCCAATCACACAATTCTTCGAAGTAGGAAAGTTAACTGCTTGTGCAGGACCTGAATTAGTGTGGAAAATACATGAGTCGTTTCGTAAGAGCGATGGAAAGGTGAATAGTAATCATTCTTACTTTACTAACGACGATATGAGCATCAGAAAAGTTTCTTTTTTATGAAGTTTTGGTTTTAATTAACTTTTGCATTGCATGCTATTGCTGCATATATGCTCGCAGTGTTAATATGAAAATTCATGTTAATATGGGATCTTCTGTATATTTTGTAACAGTTCAAAATGTTTTTTAACCCCCTCAAACTTTAGATTTAAAATTAATTTTTTTCTCGAAAGTGTACATGCCCCGGCCCCCCTCCCCCCCCCCCCCCCCATTTTTGTTTGAGAACGACACCCCCAACCTAGTTTTCTGACTATACAATGGAATTCAAACAGCTGCACTCAGACAGAACTAAGATATATGCAGACAGGAGTAACCCCCCCCCACCTTACCCCCCCTATACGTTACAAAATGTACAAACGACTCGTCATATATTTTTTAAAAAACCTCATTACATAGTTTCCATAATGAAATTGTGGTTTCCAGCTACACAAGCTCCATATATAAGTTTACACTTCAAATATCCATAGCATTAATATTTAATCAGCTCAAATGTGTCTTCGCTAATCTCTATTGCTTCCATCGAATTTATCATGAATTTAATAATAATGTATAAATTATCATTTCATATCAATCTACATAGATTGAATATATTTGAATAGGAATTACAGATGATGATATTGATGTTATTATTTCTGCGTTATTCAATTACCAAATTAAATTTGTCATAATCCACAATGATTCAGATTTGAAAAAAATGTTCAAAAATTCAAAAATAACAAGTTAATTAAACTATATGTTTTAAATGCCAGATTAAAGAACATGATGTGTTTTATGTTCTGTAAAAATATCACATTCCAATTTGTTGTCTAATTCACAAAAATTCGATTTTAAGATGCCAATAAATTTGTTTACAAAATGACAACAAATATTTTTCTTAAATTTTTTCTCCTTTCCACTTCAAATTTCTTGTTTTAATCCTGATAACCAGCTTAATTAAGCTTAGTACTTTGTGTTTGTGTGAAGAAACCAAAAGAAAACCTATTAATTGGGCGAATATACATGATTAATTTTTTTGAAATTTACCAAGACTTTAAACACTCATAAGTTAAATTCGCGTCTTTCCGCTTCTACCAAACCTATTTAAATATAAAGAACAAAGTCTAATTAACCTTCCATATTAATGTGTACATGCCCAAATATGCCCGAAGCGAGATATTTGCGATTGAAAATTAGTTAATTTTTCATACAAATTACTATCGTGCGCCAAATTTTTTGATAAACATTTGTGAAATTTGTAAAAAAAAACTTATTTATCCTCAATTTCATGACTTAATATTTTGAGGAATCAATAATCAAGTAAGATTAAAGGCATTAAAAGTCCTAAACTAGAGAATATCAATAAAAAATTTCATTACTTCAATGTGTCTGAAAAATATTATGCACAAGGATTATTTGAACATTTTTTTCAAATCTGAATCATTGTGTAATCTTGAATAATATTATTTTAACGTTTTGAATTTTTTATCGCGCAATCCACTCGTCTGTAGGAATGCTCAGTATTTCTTTTCGAGAAACGTATTGCTGATAAGTTGCACAAACCTAAGCGCAAAGAGACGGTAACAGAATTGCTTAAAGCATCCGTCAAACAACTGGAAAGATTTCGACATCCAAAAGTAATATATGCTAATAATTATAGCCTATGGTGTGCGAATTGATTAGATTTTTTTTTTGTTGTTGTTTTCTTAGTTTTGGTGAAGTTTTATGAACGTTCAGAATTGGTTTCCTCTAGGTTTTTTTGAAGTAAAGCTTCTTGCATCAATTTTTGTGATGCAAACTTTTTCGCATCAATTATTGTGATGCAAACTTTATCGCATCAATTTTCGTGAAGCAAACTATTTTGCATCAAATTTTTGTGAACCAAACTTTTTTGCATCAATTATTGTGATGCAAACTTTTCGCATCAAATTTTGGGATACAAACTTTTTTGCATTAATTTTCGTGATGCAAAACTTTTTCGCATCAACTTTCGTAATGCAAATATTTTTGCATCAATTCAATTTAAAGTAAAATAATGATGCGAACGCATTCACGTTAATTTTATTGAGGCAAAAACTTGTTGAATCATTTTTTGCGGTAACTTAGTAAGCGAAAAAACTTCGCATCAATTTTAAAAAAGTGTGTTTAAAATCAGCCCTTCATTAATTTCCTAATCATGCCCAAAAACTTTTTTAAAGTCAAATGTGGTTAAAGTTATTCATTGAACATAAAAAAATTATTTTCATGAAAAATCTTCAGCCATGCTTCAGTAATAATCAAAAAGTTTACCTCTTTGCGCAAAATTATCCTTTGATCTCACCACAAATTATATTAAAAATCTATTAAATATATAAAAGGATCTATTGGCACACCATCTATACTATAATGAAATTAAATCATGCTGAATTGATCAATTTTCGATTCTGTAACCCTAAAAAGATTCTACAAATTATACACACTGTGGAAGAATGCTCCGAAACTTTAGCATTCGCAACAGAGCCAGTTTATGCGAGTCTTGCAAACGTCTTGGCATTTCATGTAAGACAGGATCACGATACTGGTTTCATGTTTCATTAATTACAATGAAAAATTATTTTCTTAGGACTCTTCATCATCAGTCCCACAAACACCACCGATACAGAGAAATGCGAATACAACGTTTATGAAGGAATACAATTTCTTGGATATTGAACTCAAGTATGGTATCTTACAGGTACGAATAAGACAGTAATGAAATTATGTAGATAATGTCTAACGCCCACCTGCTTTCTGTTTTGTATGTAAAATATTACAGATTATAGAAGCATTATCATTTCTCCATTACTCGGGCCAAGTGATTCATAGAAATGTCTGTCCATCGTCTATATTAATTACGAAAAGAGGGACATGGAAATTAGCAGGATTTGAATTTATAGGTATAGACAAATTAATTCAAAGCTTTTAATTGCGACAATTTTTATTTAATTTTATATTTATGAATTAGAAAAGTGTCATGAGACAGACGCTGTAGAGCCGATAATGTGTCCACCATGGAGTACGCGTATATCGAAAATGGCTCAGCCAAACCTCGACTTTACAGGTACGATGAGAAATTTGTTCAATTGAATTAGAGTAATGGCAATTAATTGGCTCAATCAAGTCTTAATGGAAACGTGTGTATATCGAGTTTTATAGCTTGAGAAAATATATTACCATTTCTTCCCTGGACTATACCTTCCTTCTTTTGTATTCGTTTGGAAATGTGAAGAAAATGGAAAATTTATTGATTTTTTTTTTCTTGTTACATTGTTTCCATTTAATCTTGTTTTAAGCATGACTTGAATATTTAAAAACATCACAAAATTTCACTTTCTGACCGGAAGAACAATTTTTATCTCTTTTTACGACTGTAGCACCGGAGATCCAAACGAGTTCTAACTGTAGCATATTAAGTGATATGTTTTCATTAGGAATGGTCGTATGTTCAATATTTAACAATGGAAAGCCATTGATTCAGGCTCAAAATACCCCATCGCATTATTTAAAGCAGTTGGAAACGGTAAATATGTTTATCTTTAAACTTTCCCAATGAGTGCGGATGAGAACTAATTTTCGATTTCGAAGGATCTAATTTTCGAGCGCGGGAAAAAAAATTTGAATTTGAAATTTTCGTTACAATTATTTGTTTACATTTTGCATTTAAATTACTTCTTGAAAAAAGAATCTTCATGGGAACTTTCAGTAGAAGTTCAATGTTTTTTAATGTGTCTAGAATTCATTTATAGGCTATTAAATTGTCTTATTTCATGTTCTGATCCTTCAGAACAATTAATTAATCAACAATTTATTGATACAGTAATTGCCCAAGTTGAAGTAGTTTTTGAACATTGTGAAGAAACGATTGATAAACTATTAAAAGCTTTTGTTAAATTTAGAGCAAAATTTCAGTATCCGTGCATATCCGTGTTGATTAATACATAAAAGAAACAATTTTGCATCAAAAAACAATTGAAATAAATTTGTTTCTTAATTAAGTCGTTAACGTATTTTTATTTTTCAAAATTTCATATTTTCGAATTTTTTCGAATTTTTTTTGAATTTTTTCGAAATTAACCAAAATTAACTGACATTTTCTTTGTTCGCACTCATTGGAAACTTTCTTGTTTATCCTAATAATCTGGCTGATAAATATATGTAAATTTTATTATTATAATAATAAACATCAAAACTAATTTCATAATTGGGTTTCGGAATTTAATTTTGGCAGAGTTAGTTGATTCTTTTCCTACCTTAAAATGTTTTGATAGTAAATAAGCATTATTGAGCGAAATTTCTGAACTTACTGTTGGTTTTTATTTAACCTGATACTGGATGATTTTTTAATGAACGCGATAAATATACAAAAAATTGCATCAATTTTTACTGAACGCACTCAAGATGCGAGAAATCTGCTTCTTTTTTACTGAACGCACTTAAGATCAAAAAAACTATGCATCAATTTTTACTAAACACACTTTAGATTCAAAAATGATTCCGAATCATTTTTTCAGTGAACTCAGTGAACTCTTTTATGGGGTGAAAACCATTCTATGTCAATTTCAACTGAACAAATTAAAGACGCAAAACTTTTGATTTCCTAATCCAATATTGACGAAAACAATATAAAACAAATTCCATTAATCTCATTTCAGTTGGAAGAAAGTGTGCAACAACTACTTCCGAAAATACCAGCACCATTGCACGAAGCAACAACACGCTTAATGTCTAAACAACCCGGACCACGTCCAACAGCACAACTTTTGCAATTAATAAAATACTTTAGGTACTTAATTTCAATTATTTTGAAGAAATTTTTGAGAAAAAATCTTCTTTTTTTTTGTCAAACTCTAGCGACCCAGCCGTTCATGCTCTTCAATTTCTCGATGTAATCAATATGAAGGATCCAACACAAAAAGCTCACTTTTATCGTAGCACATTAAAGGACGCACTTCCTTTCATTCCTCGAGTAAGTCATTTCATTATTTTCAGTCTCGTCTCCCTTTGAAAGATATTCGTAAGAAGATTAAGGTTTATAACTTTTGTTATAGAAACTTTGGTGGCAACACGTTTGGCCCTTTTTACAACAAGAGATGAAGGGTTCAGAAGTTCTTGCTGCAGTCTTACAACCAGCACTTGCAATGGTACAGGAGTCAACAGCCAATGAATACGAGGAATTCATTTTACCAACATTTAGGTATGAATCTATTTGTTTTTTTTGTGCAAGTCAGTGTCAGGAGTGTAATTACTGTAATTTTATAATTAATCAATACGTTTATATCTACACAGGGTTGTGTTTGCTGCGCCTAAATCAATACAAGCCACCGTAACGTTACTAGAGAATTTACATATAATACTTGAAAAGACACCACAAAGCGACATTCGTTCCGAAATATTGCCGCTTTTGTTCAATTCATTCGAAAGCAATACAATGCAAATACAAAGTGCTGCTCTGCTCGCAGTAGCAAACGTTTACGAGTATGTCGATGAGATTTCAATAAGACGAATGGTCTTGCCAAAAATCAAAACCGTATTTGAGAAGAATCAAAGTGATTTAAAAATTATGGCGAATGTCTTGCAATGTGTCGAGCGTGTCCTCGACAAATTGGAAAAATCTCAAATAATCGATGAAGTACTTCCAATGCTTTATGAAATTCGTTTTTCCGATCCCGAAATAATTTTACGTATAGTTCGTGAGTAAAATTTTAATTGAGAATCATTTGTATGATGGTCATGTACATTTATGTGTATATTTCATTTTATGGATGTGATATGTGTCTACACATGTTTGATGAACATCTTTTATGAGTAATGAGCTGATTGATCGTTAATGATAAAATGCATTTTTCTTCTTCTTCTCCTTATTTTATTACATTTAGATATATATCGAATAATGTTAAGCGATAAAAAGTATGGATTATCTGTAAACATGATGGCAACCCGTGTTATGCCTTCATTATTACCGCAAACCGTTAATCCATCATTGAATCTTGAGCAATTTATGATATTACTTGAAGTAAGTGTTTGGATAGCTCGAGGGGGGAAACAACATGATAGGAAATTACTATCTAATTTTTCAATGTAGAAAGAAGTTTTGCGCCGAATTTAAAACAACATTTTTGCTAAGAGATTTTAAGATTTTCCCATCATGTTGTTGTCCCCTCACTTGATGCAAATTATATTAATTTATCTCATTGCACAAACTAGGTACTCCAAGAAATGTTGGACTGCATCGATCGTCAACAACGTAACAAATTGAAATTAGATAATTTATCATTGCCATCTCCAGAGAGACATCGACCATTAAGACATCAATTCTCATCTGATAATATGCACGTTCCGCCATTTAATATTCCTAATCTGAGGATTGACCAAAGAAAAACTTCTAGTGCGGAAGACATGGCAAGAAAGAATTCAACTGGATCTATACGTAAGTACTTTACTTTGTTTCGCTTGGGGATTTCTGGCTTTGCGAAAATTGATGATAAATTTTTCTTGACATGAGAAGAGCACTCAAGGATTTTGATTCGGAGAATTTTTCCTTTTGTATCCATTTCCCCTCTTAAAAATCACAGGAATAGTCCTTGACATTTTCATTTATTGATTAATGCTAACACTAATTTAATCTTACCTCAAATAATTAACAGGATCCGGAATGTTGGGGAGTTGGTGGTTCGGTGGTCCATCATCACCAGATAGCAATTATTTACGCGTAGCAAATGCAGCATTTCCAAATCGTCGTCTTTCAGATAATACTTTAATGACACCAAAAATTCGTATTGCACCGTCATGTGCTTCATCACCAGGTAATAAAGCTGAATTTTTTGTACATTATGAAATAGTGGGCGTGAAGTTTGGCCGAGACCCATATCGACACAGTTCAAAAGTTATACCTAATTTATGTCATAATTATGTCAGCTACAAAAACTTTCCACAGTGAAGAGTATGAACAAAATTCAAATGGGGTAGTCGAAATTTTAGATTTCGATTTTTTTTAAGCTATGCATTACAAAAAGTAATATTGGTATGTGATTTATGTCAGAATTATGTCAATTCAAATAAAACATCCAAAAAATTTTTTTGACCAAAGTACACCATAGAAAATCAATTTTCAATTTTGGACTAGGGGCGACCCTAGTGAAAATCAATTTTGTCATTTTTTTCTTCGAGGGTTTATACAAATGGATTAAAACTTTGCATAAATATTCTAGTGCTTAAAACAAATACAAATAAAACATCCAAAAATTTTTTTGAGCAAAGAACCAAGAAGGAAAAATATTTTCAATTTTGGACTAGGGGCGACCCTAGTCAAAATCAATTTTGTCACTTTTTTCTTCGAGGGTATATCCAAATGAATTGAAACTTTGCATAAATATTTTAATGCTTAAAACAAATACAAATAAAACATTCTAACATTTTTTTTGCAAAGAACCAAGTGGGAAATACATTTTCAATTTTGGACTAGGGGCGATCCTAGTCAAAATCAATTTTGTCACTTTTTTCTTCGAGGGTTTATCCAAATGGATTAAAACTTTGCATAAATATTCTAGTGCTTAAAACAAATACAAATAAAATATCCACAAATTTTTTTGAGCAAAGAACCAAGTAGGAAATACATTTTCAATTTTGGACTAGGGGCGACCCTAGTCAAAATCAATTTTGTTACTTTTTTCTTCGAGGGTTTATACAAATGGATTAAAACTTTGCATGAATATTCAAGTGCTTATAACAAATACAAACAAAACATCTTAAATTTTTTTTTTTGCAAAGAACCAAGTAGGAAATACATTTTCAATTTTTGACTAGAGGCGACCCAAGTCAAAGCCAATTTTGTCACTTTTTTCTTCGAGGGTATATCCAAATGAATTGAAACTTTGCATAAATATTTTAATGCTTAAAACAAATACAAATAAAACATTCTAACATTTTTTTTGCAAAGAACCAAGTGGGAAATACATTTTCAATTTTGGACTAGGGGCGATCCTAGTCAAAATCAATTTTGTCACTTTTTTCTTCGAGGGTTTATCCAAATGGATTAAAACTTTGCATAAATATTCTAGTGCTTAAAACAAATACAAATAAAATATCCACAAATTTTTTTGAGCAAAGAACCAAGTAGGAAATACATTTTCAATTATGAACTTGGGACAGGTCCAGTCAAAATCTAGTTTTTCACTTTTTTTTTCATCGAGGATAAATCCAAATACAGTAAAACTTTGTATGAGCATTTTAATACTCAGGTCACACATTTCTGAATTAATAAAAATCATTTTTTTGGACAAAATTTTAAGTCACGTTGTTTTTGAATGTACAACCAAATTTATAAAATTTCACTGTAATTGGATAAACCTTCTAAGAAAAAAAGTGAAAAACTAGATTTTGACTAGGGTCGCCCCTAGTCCAAAATTGAAAATGTATTTCCTACTTGGTTCCTTGCTCAAAAAATTTTTTTCATCCAAAGTTTAATTTAAAATAAAAAAAAATCACAGTGAACTTTTAATTTGAAAAATTCGTAAGTAAGGAAAGTTTTTTGCCTTTTCTGAAGCAACGGCTGTTCCTACCTTGCCCAAAAACAATACAGCTCTTCTATAGAGCAGCACGGATCAAATGTAAAAAACTAGAAGTCTCTACAATGTCTCGTTATTGAGATTTCTTGCTGATTAACTTGCTTGTTTGCTTGCTTGCAGAAAGCATATTTTGCGATTTTCTAAGCAATGCCGCAACCAATTTGAAATCTGTTTTTTGCAAAAGATGTGAAATTCAAGGCACAAACTTTTCATCTCTGAACATTTTAAGCTATCTTGCTCCATATCCTCACAAAATTCAAAAAACTGATTTTTCAATCTGAACAAAACCAATAGATTCACACGTGAAAACGGTGTGAATATAAAAATTACTTTATAGGAAAAACATTTTCTTTCTATGTGCAATGCAATGAAGCAAATTTCTTAAAGAATTCTTATTTTGAAACATCTGGGAACTTGAGTATAATTGGCAAAAAAAATGTATGATTTAGGGATTGTTCATAAATGAGCTCTTTTAAAAAATCGCAAAATATGCTTTCTGTAAGCAAGCAAACAAGCAAACAAGCAAGTTAATCAGCAAGAAATCTCAATAACGAGACATTGTAGAGACTTCTAGTTTTTTACATTTGATCCGTGCTGCTCTATAGAATAGCTGTATTGTTTTTGGGCAAGGTAGGAACAGCCGTTGCTTCAGAAAAAGCAAAAAACTTTCCTTACTTACGAATTTTTCAAATTAAAAGTTTACTGTGATTTTTTTTTAAATTAAACTTTGGACGAAAAAAATTTTTTTGAGCAAAGAACCAAGAAGGAAATACATTTTCAATTTTGGACTAGGGGCTAGGGTTTGTGAAAAACAGCTGTTTTTGAAAAACAGTCTGTTTTCGGTTTTTGATTTTTAAAAACAGCTGTTTTCCTGTTTTTCTAGAATTCAAAATAAACTGAGTTATCCTAAGTGTTTCTCTAAGATAATGAAACTTTTTGGTGGTTATAAGCAGTTAAGCATACATTTTAGAGCTAAGCATTATTATTTCTTATTTTCTTATGTTAATTATCTCTAAAAAATATAATGAAATATAAAAATCCAAAAAAATTTATACCTTTAAGTAACATTGCATTGTTGCATTGTAAAAGTTCCATAAGCTCTAATATTTTATTTGAAATATTCAATAAATCTTTCTGAATAAAAAAATATTTTGTAAAATTGTTGATTATATTTTTAAACTTTAGTAAATGCTACAAAAGGTTCAACAAATTTAAAATTTCGATTGCAAAATTAATAATGATTAACCATAAATTTGATAATGATTTCAAACCTATTAAACATCCAAAAAATATTAAAATAATAAATACATTTCAATTTGAAATGCTAGAAAAATATATTAAGTTCTTCAAAAAATTAAGAAATTTTTTTTCTGTAAATTTTATGTAAAAATGAAAAACAGAAAACAGATCTGTTTTTGAGACCTGTTTTCTGTTAACAGATTTTTATTGAAAAATAGCTGTTTTTCTGTCTTCTGTTAAAAGATTCCCCAAACCCTACTAGGGGCGACCCTAGTCAAAATCAATTTTGTCACTTTTTTTCTTCGAGGGTTTATACAAATGGATTGAAACTTTGCATAAATATTCTAGTGCTTAAAACAAATACAAATAAAACATTCTGAATTTTTTTTGAGCAAAGAACCAAGAAGGAAATACATTTTTTAGAGGCGACCCTAGTCAAAATCTAGTTTTTCACTTTTTTCTTCGAAGGTTTATCCAAAACAGTGAAACTTTGTGTGAGTATACTAATATTTATACAAAACAGTTTTAAATATCTAAAGCAAGAAATGTATTCTATATATCGTCAGACCCAAATTTTATAAATTTGGTTCTACATATAAAAACAACGTGACTTAAAATTTTTCCAAAAAAATGATTTTTATTAATTCAGAAATGTGTGACCTGAGGATTAAAATACTCATACAAAGTTTTACTGTATTTTGATTTATCCTCGAGGGGAAAAAAGTGAAAAAAAAAAGATTTTGACTAGACTTGTCCCAAGTCTAAAATTGAAAATGTATTTCTTCTTGGTTCTTTGCTCAAAAAAATTTTAAGATGTTTTATATGTATTTGTTTTAAGCACTTGAATATTTATGCAAAGTTTTAATCCATTTGTATAAACCCTCGAAGAAAAAAATGACAAAATTGATTTTCACTAGGGTCGCCCCTAGTCCAAAATTGAAAATTGATTTTCTAAGGTGTACTTTGGTCAAAAAGTTTTTTTGGATGTTTTATTTGAATTGACATAATTCTGACATAAATCACATACCAATATTACTTTTTATAATGCAAAGCTTAAAAAAAACGAAATCTAAAATTTCGACTACCCCATCTGAAGTTTGTTCATACTCTTCACTGTGGAAACCAAAAAACAAATTCTTTATCTCAAAACACTTGACAAAATAGCGACATAATTCAGGATTAATTACTTTTTAATAATATTTTAACATTTACGAGAAAATGTGGTTCAAATAAGTGTGAAGTATGGCCGAGATTTGGACCAAAATCAGCTATACTGGTTCATAGTGTTCCCGAGGGTGACAAAATTCAAACTAAGTGTTTTTGTAGCTGACATAATTATGACATAAATTAGGTATAACTTTTGAACTGTGTCGATATGGGTCTCGGCCGTACTTTACGCCCACTATGAAATAATATCATGAATAATTCATTGCAAATCTAGGTGGAACTCCAGGAGGAGCATTGCCTATACGAAGGTAAACAGAACTTTGTTCCCCCGTATTTTTTTTATATTTTGCTTCATGCTTCCTCACGTTCTTTTCTCAATTCTCTCTTTTTTTTCTCGTAAATTTTTAATCTTTATAGACACTCGAGCATCGGTCCTCAAGAAAGGAGATCATCTGCAATTAATTTATCTCCACCGACTGTGAGTACATTTACATATAAACGAAAGAGAGAGGGTGAATACATGTCGAATCCTTAATTTACCTTCTTAAATCATTTTTTTTTTTGGGGATTATGTGCTCTGCTTGAATGTTGAGTTAAATTAACTCAATTAGCATTGTAACAATTAAATGTCGCCCTTTTTGGCTAATGAATTTGAAGTCACTAAGTCCCCTTTTTCTAATTTTTCTAAACTTTTTTTCTCTTCCTCTTCTTCTTCTTGATTCTATATTTTGTCTCATCTCGTTTAATAGCTTGCTCGAAACATGATTGTAAGTATAACAACGATAAGGGTGTCGTTTGGAACTTATGTCAATCTCCCATAGAGCAACTATGCAGTTTAGAATTAAAACATAAATAGTTCAGATAAAGGACAGGGACAGGTTGTTCGGTATATTCTTCATTCAGATAAAGGTTGCATCCTTGGCTTAACCTTTAGCGCACTATAAGGCATCAATTAGCTGTTCTTAAGAACATACCCTTAACGGACCACTAGTATTTGCCTAAATTATACATCAAGGTCCTACTATAGTTCAGGCCTACTAGGTTACTACAAGGTTACTACTAGGCTACTACTAGGCTACTTCTAGGCTATACGCCAGTGCTTCTCAAACTTTCCAGACCCCGGAACTGAAAATTCATGTTTTATATTTACATGATACAGTTACTCCTTCTGACACCAAGCATTTTCTCGCGGAACATAGTTTGAGAACTACTGACATATGCTTAATGTATATCCGTTTTTGCTGCTCAATCTACCTATGTAACTTTCTTAGATAATGTATACGATAAAAGATACTAAGCAAGCAGCCTTAAGAGTGTAGCCAGAGGAGAATGCTATGTCTTTAATGAGGGTCATATTTAGTGCTACGTAATACCCAAACGACTCCCTTAAAAAAAGAGAAAAAAGCAATTATTTTTTAAACAGCAAAATGTCTCATTTAATTTTATTTTTCCTTCATAATCTGCAAATTAGGGTGGATCTATGCCAAATACGTCGAGCACAAGTGTTCCATTTTTATTATCATCAAGCATGCAATCAATTCGTTCACGTCGAACATCAACTGTGTTATCCTCCGGACCACTTGGATCAGGCTCTGGTTTATTATCACAATTGGGATCTGGAGTGGTAAGAATTCCTTTTAATGCCCCAACTTCCGGTAGCGCAAGTCCTGTTCACCAATACAATGGGACTAGAAGCTTTGTACGCAAATGCCCCTCACTTAATATCACATTCAGTAACTGAAATTAAAAGAAAAAACTTACCGACTCTCTTTATTTTTCACCTTTAAAACGATCAGAAAAAAAAATTTATAAATTGAAAAGATATTGCAAAAGATTCACATTGTTAATATACACATGCCTAACGAAATTATCAAAAAAAAAAATACAATAATTTTTATTATGATATATACCTAAAATGAATACATTTGAGGATAGATATTTTAAATAATTGTAAATAATTTTCAAAAATCATGGAAAATTAGTAAAAGAGAGAAAACACTAAAATTTTAAAAAGAAATTCAAAATCTACTCGTAGAGACTAGAAATAATCATGAAACAAGACATTGGGCAGAGTTCGATTATTTTTGTTCTGCCATGCCAAAGCTAAGTAGGTGAAATTTTAGAAGAAAAAAAATATATATAACAATTATGAAGAATCGTAGATATTTATCAAAATGTTATGACAGAAATCCGTTAGTTTATTTTTTTGAAAACCACACATACACGCATATAAAATGACTAACTATAGGGCAAAAAGTAATCATAAAAACATGCCTTACAGAACATACTTTTCGTTTTAAATATACATCTCTAATGTCAAGCCTGAAACATAATCTTTTACTTCTCATACTTCATTTACTCAAAAATTTCATCATTTTAGTTTTCTTCGTCCTTTTCATTAGGGATTTGTTTGCTTATGACGACTGATATTAACGGTCATTTTTCAAAAAAGAATATTTCTATTGTTCCCACCCCCCCCTGAACGTCATAAGTGAACGACCCCATAGAGAGTTGTTTCCTTATGACGTCCATAAGATGCAGACTATGCTTTTTTGGCACTTCAAACAATTTGTGCCAAGTTGAGAGTGGGTTTGAAAATCTCAATTTATAGACATCATAAGCGAACGATCCCTGACTGTAAATACAACACAAAAACAACACTGATGATGAAAATAGTTTTCATTGCGTCTCAAAAATGATATATAGATTTATATGATATATATTTTTGGCATCTATTTATTACGTAATTTTAAAAATGAAGTAAGAAAAAGGAAATTTTCATATACATTAAAATAATGGAGTGTTTCTATAAATATAATATAGACGAAATAATATAAAAGAAAAGATAAATAAACTCAGAGCTTGAAAATGTTTGATGATGATGAGAATGACGATAATGACGAACGTTATCTACCTATGTGGGTAGATAATAGTAGCTTAAAAGTTCAAGTAATCTTGTTAAAATCTTATGAAATTTATAAGACAAACAAGTGTTTAATCAAATTTAAAATTTGAAGATATAAAAAAAAGAAGAAAAAATTTTGATTTAAGAAGATTATAAATACCTAAATACTATTTCAATTATGAAAGAAAATTGTTCTATCAAAGTGAGATATATCTACATGTTGTTTTTTAATAGTGATACGAATAGAATTGACAAATTTTAGAGATTAAAATATTTTAAAAGGTTGATTTTGAGTGTGTTTTTGCACTTTCCAATTAAGCTTTAATGTTTGTTTTATGAATAATAATTTCTTTATCGTACTGAGAATGATTTTGAATATGTTGAACTGATTTATGAGATGAGAAATAGAATAAATAATTCGAGTGCCTGATAAAAATCCGACTTTCAAAAATTCGAAATCTCATTTTTTCGAATTTTTTTTTTCGTATAATTTTCAAATTTTTAAGAACCGTTACCTGCAAAATTAAGTTAAGGATTTTTGAAAATTTGAAAACTATACGAAGAAAAAAAAAAGTCGAAAAAATGAGGTTTCAAATTTTTGAAATTCGTTATCTTAAAAGACACTCAATTAGTTCGTTAACTTTTAAGATTGAAAATTGACTTATAAAATTTTAAAATGAAATACTGGGGGTCCTCGATTTGAGTAGGTGTTTTGTTCCAGAAAAATCCTGTTCAAATCGAATCTACTCAAATCGAATTATTTACTTTTTGTATGAAAAATGTTCGTTACAAAAACCTTTTTTAAAATTTTCTATCCATTAATTTTCGTTACTCAAATCGAATCTTTTCAAATCGAATCTACTCAAATCGATTTTAAATCATTTTTGATAACTTTTTATTCATTTTGATCAATCTTGATCATTTTGCACCATGTTTGATCAATTTTTGGTCTTCTAAATAATTTTTGAATAAATCAATCATCTTTGATTAGTTCGACACTTTAATTTGATTTAAATTAAGCAAAAAAATGCACTCAAATCAACCAACAACGGTGATTTAGCAAAATTAATCTTATTGTTGTATGTTGCAAATTAAAACAAAAAAAAAATCATACATCTAGCATCTAATTAATTAACTTACTTACTACGAGTAAAGGCGAAAACTTTTACACCTCTTTGCATTCTCTCCTGTATTATGTGTCGAGGTCTATGAACTTCACTATCGCATACTCATAAAAATGATAAAACAAAACAAAAAAAAAGAAGTTTGTTGATGAACAAAAATGTGATTCAATTATTTTCTATTATGTTTTTAGCTTTTCCTTTAAATTAAGCATATATACAAATTTATCATTGTTAATGTATATCGTAACTAAAGGTTCTTTGGATGTACTCTAAACAAATTTAATTATGACTGTTTGTACGATTATGGGAGCTAGTAACATCTATATTATCATCGACATAGCCGTTTTCATGTTTTTGCCATAAAAAAATAAGAATTCTACATTTTCCATTTAACTTTTCACCTTATTTTAAAGATAAACATTTCATATTCAGAGAGAATCAACGTATGTACAATTCATCAAATTTATGAATTTTGCAATTCATTTGAAGAAGAATAAGAAAGTAATTCTTCTATGTTTATCATACTTTTTTAAGCAAATATTGATTTTTCTTACTCGTTTGTGAAAGTCTCTCTTTTTTCCTTTGTTATCCTGGGGGAGGATTACTCGATGGTACCCGACGATATTACTCTTGGTTTTTTTGTATATCCCATGAAAGGAATTTATTATCTCTTTAAACTCTAATAAATTTTAAGCTTTAATAGCATCCATACATCGTATAGGATAGAGTTGGGTATATCCGATGTTTGTTGAGGTTATCCGGTATTTACCGATGGCTGTTCATTAAAATTGGTAAAAAAAAACAACAACAATATCCGGTAGTTTTATTCACTTCTACTGTGAAAAAAAAAGGTAGAGGTGCTTCAGAATAAATCATGAGGTATGAGAAAATGCTTAAGATGTAAAGAAAAGGGAATAAATGGTTTTCAAATAACAGAGGATAATTTCAAAGGAATCATTTATATAATATTTGAACCTTCTTGTAATAACTCAAGAGTCATGAACTTGTATTGTCTACAGCTACATAATTTAGAATATCCCAAATGGGGTTATTAAATTTTTTAAATGGTTTCAAAGATTTATTGATGGAACTAGATTATAAAATTTTATTTTTCTATTTCAATTCCTTTTCAATATAGAGTCGATTTCCAACACTTTTACAAGAATCATAGTAAGGTTTTTGATTCCGCGATTGTAATGTAACAAATCTCGAGATTGATCAAGGGATTAAATACATTACAACTTAGGAATTCAAAACCCTAGACTCTACTTGAATCTCAAATCTCCCTTCAGAGGATCTTTGATTTAAATAGATTCTTTTTCTAGAATAAATCACATACTCAAAACAGGGATCGCGTGTAAATTGTAGTTTATTGAATTTCATTGTAAACGAAGGATGCCCTAGAAAGACCTACAAACCTACATAGTTTGCCAAGGATCAGTTTTCCTAGAACGTAACAATTTGGATTTCAACAGATATCCTACTTCCTCCTTAAGCATTAGTAAGTTACTAATAGTAACCAACCTTAGGCTCAAAATCAAGAGAATCTAAGCCATAGCTTCGAGAATCAGGACTGGCGTGTAGCCATAGCATTGAGTTAATGAAAAATCAATGAACTCTCAAGCTGTTAATTCCAAAATTTTCTAAAAATATAAAAAAAAATTTTAAATCACTTATTCAACAAAGATTCGAAAACAGTTTCATTACTGGTAATTAAAGAACTTCATCTTTGATATAACAAAGAGCATATGACTCTATAAAGCTAGTTCACTCTTCATTCATACTCTATCCTTCTAATTTTGTCCAAACAAGCTTTTATATATTTGAAAGTAAGCATAGTTTGTGGACTATGACATCAGTATAGAAAAGTCCACACCAATTACCTCAACTTTCGATTTTAATGATTTGTAAAATAAATAATGAGCTAAGCTAGACGTGTGCAAAGGGATAATTGTGTTGATTTTTCATTAGATACGTCTTAATACCGTCTTAATCTTAATTCATCTCAATATGGTTTACATTCTGCTTCTAAATGAATAAAAGAGATTCCTTATAAATACAAAATCAATAGACTGAGAAGATTAAGGCTTCAATGAATTGCTTAATGATCTGAAACTTACAAAATGGCACAAGAGTAAGGTATCGCCGAGCAATCCAAACCCCACTGAAAAAAAAATATTTAAAATGTTGTCTTATTTGCATCGTCGATTTGTCTTAATATTTTAATGATCGTGTGTATAACATGCATGTACGGGACATAAGCATGAATAAAAAGTTTTGTTTCACTTTCTTTGTTAAGTATCTAAACATATATGCGCAACATATTATTTCTCATTATTTATTTATTTTCTCTGTAACGTTCGTGTGTGTACGTGTGTGTGTGATAATTTTTCATTTTCCTTTTTATCATATATTATAAAAAAATAAGATTTTCTTTTGTTTAATAATAAGAGGATTAATAAGTGATATAAACTGATAATTAAAACTAATTGATTCAATATCAAATTTAAGTTACTTATAAAATAAAATGCTCTCTCTTCTTCTCATTCTCTCTATCTTGTAGCTTTTTCATTTTTGCTATATTATATCACATCCTGTGTCTAATCTGCTCAGGGGTGAAGCTCGAAATTTTTTAACAGTAGGAAAGGGGGTCAGATCTCATGATTGGGAACCAGGGTTCGGTTTCTAAAGCTAACCTAGTCATTAATATCCCAAATTAAATTACATTGATTTTCATTCCTGAGGTAGGGTATCCATTGACCATTGTAGCCCTAAAAACCAGGTCATGCTGTTATTATTTTTATTATTTCCAATTTTAAGAGG